AGAGGGAGAAGCAGGCCTCCCACAGAGCAGGGAGCCCGATGCGGGGCTCGATCCCAGGATCCTGGGATCCTGACCTGAGCCGAAGGCAGACGCTTAACGACTGAGCCACCCAGGCGCCCGTCATATTGGTTTTTAAATTAAGGTCAAATTCACAGATCATAAAATTGACCACTATTTTAAACTGTACAATTCAGTGACATCCAGCACATTCTCAATGCTGTACAAGCACCACCTCTATCTAATTTCAAAACATTTTCATCACCCCAAAAGGGAATTCTGTATCAATGAAATGGTTATTCCCCATTTCCTTCTCCACCCAGGCCCTGGCAACCACTGGTCTGCTTTTTGTCTCTATGGGTTTGCCTATTCTGGAAATTTCCTATGAATGAAATCATAAAATATGTGACCTTTTGTTCTGGCTTTTCTTGTTCTGCATCATGTCTCTGAGGTTTATCCATGTGGTAGCATGAATCAGTGCTTCTTTCCTTTTTATGATTGAATAATATTCCATTATATGGATATACCACATTTCGTTCATCTGCTCACGTGTTGATAGACATCTAGGATGTTTCCATCTCTGGCCATTGTGAATGGTGCTACTATGAACATTTGTTTACATGTATTTGTTTGAATACTTATTTTTGATTCTTTGGGGTATGTATCTAGGATAGAATTGCTGGAACACATGGCAATTCTATGTTGAGCTTTCAGAGGAGCTGCTGAACTGTTTCCCACAGTAGCTCACCAATTAAAATGTATGAGACTGTATGAGGGTTCCAGGTTCTCCACATGCTCTCGAACCCTTGCCAAGCAGGGTCACTCTTCCAAAACTGATGAAGGGCACTTGTGCATCAGAGAAAATGACATGCAGGGTCATTTGACTGCAGGTTCTCCTCCATCCACCCTTACATTTTACTCATTGAGCCCCTACAAGTGCTCCTTTGCCCCCAGGGAGTTTGCTCTTAGTAAGTCACCCCTGCCCACTGGGAGCTTGTGCTCTGGGATAACTTGGGCATGACCCTTGCCACTGCCTTCCCCTGTATCCCCCATATCCAATCACTCTTGCTGACTCTACATGCAAAATACATCTCAGATCTGTTCCCTTCTCCCTGAGGTCTGCTGCAATCATCCCAGTCCAGGTCACCATGACCTCTCACCTGCATGCCTCTTCTTCTTAACCACCTGTATCAGTTATCTATTGCTATAGAACAGATGACTACAAATGTGGCAGCTTAAAACCCACAATTTTCTTTCTTTAGTAATCTCTACACCCAGCTCGGACTCATAACCTCCCAACAATCAAGGTGTTGGCTGGGGCTCCTGTCATCCCATGGCTCAACTGACGGAGGATCTTCTTCCCAGCTCACTCACATGGCTCTTGGTGGGGCTCAGGGCCTTGTGGGCTCTTGGCTGGAGACAACAGTTCTTGGCCATGTGGATTCCTCTATAAGGCAGCACACAACATGGCAGCTGACTTCCTTCAGAGCAAATGAGCAGAAGAGTGAGAGGGAGCCCAAGACAGACATCACAGTGTCTTTGTAACCTAATCCTAGAAGGGATATTCCATCACTTTGCTATATTCCGTTTATTAAAAGCAAATCACTGGTTCCAGGCCACCTTTAAGAGGTGGGGGGTGGGGAGGGGGACTACATAGAGCTATCACCAGGCACCATCATAGAAGCTACCCTTTACAACCTGTCCTCTGGCAGCCAGTGATTCATGTCTTTCGCATATGCAAAATGCACCCTCTTCCTTTGAAGGGCCTCAAAAGCCTCATCCCACTATAGCATCAGCGGGAAGTCCATAATCTCAAAACTAAATCAAGTCTAGGTGTAAATTAATCCCTTAAGTATAGTTCCTTAAGTACATCTCCTCAAAATACGATCTTTCCAATCTGTAGACTTATGAAAATAAGGAGACAAATTATTTGTCCCCCCAACATACTGTGGTGGGACCAGCCTAGGACAACAGTGATGGACATTCTTGTTCAAGGAGGGGGAAGTGAGAGGCACAAAGGAGTCACTGGCCCTTAGTAAGTCTGAAAGCCAGCTCGGCAAATGTTGGCAACTCCTCCAGTTCTCAGAGACTGAGAATGATTATACGTGGCTCTTGGCTCCACTCTGAGTCATACTATTTCATAAAAAGTAGCACATATGTGCAGCTGAGCAGCTCAGTTGGCTTCCTGCCAGAATCCTGGAGTTCTAAAGGCCTCTTTTCAGCCTGTGCTCTTTCTCCTTCCAAGAGTCCAAATATGACTCTTTCAAGAACTCTGTGGGCTTCCTGGGAACCTTACTGGGCATTCACACCATTAGACTAAAGCCACATCCACAAATCTCCCTGAACAAGTCCCCCTCTACCTTCAGTTTCTGCTGTGACTGCTGCAGAACAATGACCTCAAGCATTCTAGAGGCCTTATGTTTGAGAGGATCTTCGAGATGCATCTCAGTCTCTGTAAAGGATCTTTTCCATGACTGAATAGGCTTCTGAGGTACCACCTTTGATTGTCTGAGGTCTTCACAAACTATTATACAGTCACATCTTCTACTTTACCTTTAGGCCATGTTATGTTCCCCACCAAATTCGTATGTTGATGCTCCAACCCCCACTGTGATGCTATTTGGAGGTGGGGCCTTTGGGTTGTCATCAGGTTTAGATGAGGTCACAAGGATGATGGGATTAGTGTCCTTATAAGAAAAAGAAGACACTCAAGGTGGCTTTCCCTCCACCATGTGAAGGACACATCAAGAGGGTGGTCATCTGCAAGACAGGAAGAAGGCCTTTCCAGGAATCAAATCTGCCCACACGTTGATCTTGGACTTCCCAGACTCCAGAACTGTGAGGAATAAATGTCTATTTTTAAGATGCCCAGTCTATGGTATTTTGTTATAGCAGCCCAAGCTGACGAAGACAGATTTTGGTATTGAGAAGTACAGATTCCTACTAAGTTTGTTCAAGATAATGTAGGCTTTCTCTAATGCACTCCTCAAAATCTTTCCAGCCTCGGGGCACCTGGGTGGCTCAGTCGTTAAGCGGCTGCCTTCGGCTCGGGTCATGATCCCAGGGTCCTGGGATCGAGCCCCGCATCGGGCTCCCTGCTCGGTGGGAAGCCTGCTTCTCCCTCTCCCACTCCCCCTGCTTGTGTTCCCTCTCTCGCTCTCTCTCTCTGTCAAATAAATAAATAAAATCTTAAAAAAAAAAAAAAATCTTTCCAGCCTCTGCCCACTGCCTGGTTCTAAGCCACTCCCACATTTTAGCTAGTTGTTATGGCAGCATCCCACTTCCAGGCACCAAAATCCGTATTAGTTTATCTATGCTGCGTGACAAATTACTCCCAAATTCAGTGTCCTAAAAACAACATTTGTTATCTCAGTTTCTGTGCGTCAGGAATTTGGGCACAGTTTGGCTGGGTGCCTCTTCCTGGGACAGAAGGCTGCAATCATCTCAAGGCTCAACCGGGGGAGGATCCATTCTAAAATCATTTATGTGGCCTTTGGCAAGTCTCAGGTTATCACTTGCACTTGGCAAGAGACATTAGTTCTTTGACATGTGGGCCCCTCTACTAGGCAACTATAGTGGCTTGATTAGTATCCTGCCCTCCAAATTCATGTCCACATGTAACCTCAGAATGTGAACTTATTTAGAAACAGCATCTTTGCAGATGTAATTAAGATAAAATCATTCTGGATTAGGGTACAATGATAGTGTCTCCATAAGAGGAAAGGACAGAGAAGAAGGCCATGTGAAGACAGAGGCAGAGACTGGAGTAATGCACCCCTTTTGCCCAAGGAATGCTGAGGACTGCTGGGAGCCACCAGAAGCTTGAAGAGGTAAGGAAGGATTCTCCTCTAGAGCCTTCAGAGGGAGCACAGCCCTGCTAACACATGGATTTCAGACTTTTGGCTTCCAGAACTGTGAGAAAATAAAATTTCTGTTGTTTTAAGTCACCCAGTTTATGGTAATTTATTATGGCAGCCCCCAGGAAACTAACAAAGAACCTCACATTTGAGCTGGCTTCTTTCAGAGCAAATGAGGAAGAGAGTAAGAGAGGGCACCCAAGATGAAAGACAAAGTCTTTCTGTAATGTAATCTGAGACATGACATTTCATTATCAGAAGCAAGTCCCTAGATCAGCCCACAAGCAGGGTGAAGGGATTACACAAGATAATGAATACCTAGAGGTGGGCATCATGGATGGCTACACAGGCTTAACCTGCAGTGGGTTAAGTGTTGAGGATGTGGCCGGTAATACGTAAGATTCTTTCCCTTGAGATTATTTATAGTCTAGTTGGGGAGAGAACACTAAAGAATAACAAACAAATAAATACATAAATAAAAACTGTGGTAAATACAAGAAAGTAAGTTATGAGACAACAGGAATATCTGACTTAGATTAGGGATAAGAATTAGGCATGTCTTTCTGATAATATATATATATTTTTAAAGATTTTATTTATTTGAGAGAGAGAGAGCGCGCGAGCTGGAGGGAGGGAGAATCTCAAGCAGACTCTGCGCTGAGCCCAAAGCCTAATATGGGGCTCCATCCCATGACCCTGAGATCATGACCTGAGCCAAAACCAAGAGTTGGCTGCTCAACCGACTGAGCCACTCCGGTGCCCCTAAAATGGTATTTAGAATGTGGTTGAAGAACATGTAGAAATTAGGCTGTGTGTGTGTGTGTGTTGGGAGGGGAGATTGTTTCCAGGTAGAGGGAAAGCGCATGCAGATAACAGCCAGTAAGTTGAGCTGCCAGACTCAGTGTATGAGTTCTTCATCTCTGCATTTCTATTACGTAAACACAGTGCCCGGCACAGAGAGGCACCTGATAAATTATCATGGAATCAATGAATGAATAAATCCAAGGCACCTTTTATTTCCTTACTGTTATGGATAATGTCAATTCATTCAGAAATTTTCTCGCAAAGTTCACTGCTGGATCACTGCTCTTATTTGTGTTAGCACAGGCAAAGCTGCTACTATAAAAAGAGTCAAATACATAAAAGTTCAAAACAATAAAAGTTTATTTTTTTCTCATGTAACAGTCCTAGGTGGATATATAAGTCAATGGAGCAGCGGTTCTCCTCTACTCAGGAATCTTCCATCTTGGAGCCTTGCCTTCTCCAGAACCTTCTCATCATCGTCCAGCTGGCAGAGTAAGTAAGACCACCTGTTGACAAATTTTCTGGGCCGAGCCTGGAAACTGTGCACATCTCTTCTGTTCACTTTCCATTGGGGAGAGCACAGGCACATGGCCACACCTACTTTAAGGGGCCTGAGGAATGTACAGTAGGCGTATGGCCGACAAAGAGGACAACTACATCCGTACCACAACATATATCCAATTACTTGACTTACCCTCTGGTAAATCACACAAAATCCTCAAATTGTCCTCGACAGAAAAAAACATGCATTCCCCATCTTCACCTGCATCAAGTCCGTCAATCACTGAACGGCACCATTGTCCCTCCAGTTGCTGAAGCCAGACTCAGAGAAGTTACTCTTGATTTCTTTCTTTCTTCTGTTTTTTAAGATTTTATTTATTTAACAGAGAGATGGTGAGAGCAGGAACACAAGCAGGGGGAGTGGGAGAGGGAGGAGCAGGCTTCCTCCCTTGCAGGAAGCCCGATGTGAGGCTCAATCCCAGGACCCTGGGATCATGACCTGAGCCAAAGGCAGACACTTAATGACTGAGCCACCCAGGCGCCCTAATTTCTTATTCTCACGTTCCATATCAAATCCTTCAGGAAATACTGTCAACTCTACTCCCAAAACATACCATAAATCCATCTACTCCATCTTTGCTGCCACTACCTGAGTTCAAGCATCAAAATAATCTCTCATCTGGATTATTGCAATAGCCTCTTAATAACTCTCCGTGTCTCCACTTTTGCTTGCCCATATTTCTCTATCTAGCAGAATGATCTTTCAAAACATAACTTTGTTCGCATCACTCTTTGGTTTAAAACCTTCCAATTACATAGAATAAAATCTAAAGTCATTACCATGACCCTAGGGTGTATGATACAGCCTCTGTCCACCTCTCCAACCTCATTCTTTGTCATTTTCTCCTTCTACTTGCTCTGCTCCAACTACAATGAACATTCTGCTGGTCCTTGAACATATTTAGCTTATTTCCATCTTAAGATTTTTGCACCTGCTGTTCCATCCGCCCAGAAATCTCCTCCTCAGATTTGCAACAGTCAGCTCCTTCTCATTCCTCAGAGGTCTCAGCTTCAGTGTTACCCCATTCCCTGACCATCTACTAGGAAAAGTCCCCACATCCAGTTATTCTCTTATCTCAGCATCCTGTAAACTTTCTTCTTGGCACCGACAAACTCTTGTTTCCCCGTTTATTTGCTGCTTATCTTTCCTGAAATTAAGATCCACTGAGTAGGTACCGACTCTTGCTCCAATTTTTCCCAAGTGTTGAGTAGGCCTGGTACACGGTGATGCTCAGTACATAACTGAACGAATGAAGAGGTGATCTGCCAACAGCTCGTACAAGGTCCTTGGGCAGGTAGTTGGTGTAGTGGAAGGAGCACAAACGTGGGTTCCAATTCTGACTTGACCACTTCTCAGCTGTGCCCAAGAGAGTTGGGCTCTCAGAGCCTTAATTACCTAACCTGTAAACGCGAAGTAAGAACATACTTACCTCGCCGCGCCAAATGCCTGCTTTGTAAAGAATAAAGAACCTGGTTGGGGAAAAGAGCCTCAGGTAAAATTAACCCCCCGAATATATAACTACGACTGCTATTATTATACACAACTCTGTTCTCTTACCGCTGGACCCGCCCGGGACCTCCGTTTCCTCTTCATCACGAGTTAAAACCCCCGGCTCCTGCACGCACGCTGTTTCTGGCGGAACGAACCTCCTTCTCCGCGTCTTAAGAAAGAAAAAGGGGCGCGAACGTCACTCGAGTCAGGCGGCGTTCTCCAGTGGATCCGCCCCGTGGGGGCCGGACGCATTGCGTCATCAGCGCGGCGCCAGCGCTGCGGAGGGCCCCGGGGCCTGTCCCGAGTGTGGCGCAGCTTGAGGAGACCCTGGCAGATGCCTGCAAATCAACTGCGTGGTTTGGGGGCGCTCGGAAACCCCAGCGGACGGCGGCGAGGGGCACGTGGAGCCGTGGGGGCAAGGAGTCGGGCGGCAAGACGGGCGGCCCGGAGCTCAGGCGGGACACAGCGCCGGCGGGCGCCCGGCCGGCCGGCGGGGCTGCCCGGCGCGGGTGTCCCGGCGATGTGTGGCGCTGAAGCGGCATCGGGAGCAGCGGCGGCGGCGGCGGCGGCGGCCGGCTCGGGCTCGGCTTCTCAGCGGTGCCGGCGGCGGAGACGGAGGCGCAGGTTCCTCATTAGGACCTGGCGAGCCCAGGCCTAATCGGCGGCCCCGCGAGGCCTCTGCATAGCGCCCCGGACGGGGACCCTCCCCGCCTCGCCCTGCCCCGGGAGCCTGCCTCCCCGGCCGGGGATGAAGCCGGGAGGCGGCCGCACGGGGCCCAGCACAAAGGCTTGTCCCCGGGGGCCGCCGCCGCCAGCCTAGAGCCGCCCACCGAAGCGGAGCCGGCGCCGGGGCCCTCATCCCCGCCGGTCCCTGGGGACGGCTGCTGCCGGTCTCCCCGAGGCCCAGGGGCCCGAGCGCCGAGCCCCTTGCTCCCCCGGCTACGGTGGGACCGGGCACCTGTGCAGCCTCCGCCGCTCCCGGCCGTAGAGGCCCCAAGGAGCATGTCCGAGGAGAGCGACATGGAGAAAGCCATCAAGGTAAGGGGGAGATGCCCCCTTCCTCCCCGCTTTGTCCCTGTGGCATTCCTCTCGGCTCAGCCTCAGAAAGCGGAGAGAACTTGGAGTGAGAGGTTCCAGCGACTCCGGGTTTCGGTCTTCCCAGATTCCGTGGACTGCGTTTTACAGCCCTTGAGTGAATGGTTTGTGTATGTATAGGGAGGGATGTCCGACTCCCTCTAACTTCCCTGATTAAAGTAGGGATGTGATTTGTGCTCATCTAAAACGCAAGGTGAGTGGCGTGGAGATACTTGATATGAGTGGGACGGAGGGGGCCCTACTACTTCACTTTCGATCACTCCCCAAGTGCCGCCAGTATTTGTTTCCGGATGATCTGCAACAGTATTTGGAGAGTTGGACTTTACCCATCGCTCTCGATTTGTTTGAAACCAGCCTCCTCGAAACCTGCAGTTTCAGATGGGGTGGCTCGCCTTCTTACAAAATCTATCTTTTGGCACATATTGTTCTTACTTTTGCCTATGTTCCCTCACCTATTCCTCTTTCCTCTCCTCCTAGGGAGTCTTTAATTTATTGAGGAAGAGCTCATGGTGTTCTGTGACTTACTGCTCTGTTAACAACAACAACAACAACAAAGCAAATATGTGTGTTCTAAAATGACCCAAATAAAGTGAAAAGTTTTTAAAAATCTGTTTTTTACTCTTTTTTTTTAAACAGGCAAACTTTGAGGTACTAATAGAAAGTCATCTAGCTGTAGCTAGGAAATTAGAGTCTTGTGTAAATTGAGCCTGAAGTTCGATATGCGTTATTTACTTATTTTGCAGTATTAAAGTCAATGCATTTAAGAATTTCATTTTCCCTTGAGGGACAGGCATCCATTGGCAACTTGGGCTTATTTTCCCCTTCAAGACACAGTTAAGAAGTTACACTTAACAATTTTTTGTGTAGCAAAGTTTATAGAAGTCATCAGACTTTCCAAAGAAACTTCACCTTTTAAAGGAGGCATGGAAATATACATACATATTAAGGAAGATCAGATTTTAAATAATAGAAATAAAGGTTCTAAAAGACTGCATTTTTTCTTTTGGTTTGAATTTTATTGGTACGGGGTCATGAATTGTTACCTAAAGTTATATAATTGGGTTGTGAATCAAAGCATATGTGGCAGATTTTTAAATTCAAGTATTTTCTGTTTTTTGCCAGGTGCTGTCTTAGGCACTGGTGGTGCAAAGCCAAACTCCTAGATGTCCCTGCTCTCCTGGAGCTTATATTCTAGATGGTGGAGTTAGGTAATAAACATTGTCAGGTGCTTATAATTAAGTATAAAAAGGGTGGGGAGTACTATTTTAGGAAGAGTAGTCAGGGAAGGCCTCTCTGAAGAGGTGACATTTGTGTAGAGGTCTGAAAGGCACAAGGGAGCAAACCTCCACTGTCTCAGAGAAGAGTGTTACAGGCAGTAGGAACAGCAGATACAAAGCCTCTGAGATAGGTACAAGTCTTGTGTGATCCAGGAACAGCAAAGTGAATGCAATGGGTCAGTGATGTTTTAGGGAGGTGATGGCAAGCTAGAGCACATAGGGACTTGTAGACCATTGTAGGAACTTTGGCTTTGACCTTGAGTAGCAGAGGAACGCTAGGGAGTTTTGAACAGAAGAGGCACATAGTTCTAGTGGGTAAATATATAAATGGGGAGGCAATGTTACATAGTGGCTACCATAGTTTCTCTAGGTAAACTCATGGGTTAAAATCTCAGCCTTGCCATTCATTAGCTGTGTCCTTGAGTAAGTCACTTCACTTCTCAGTCCCCACTCATAGAAAGGAGATAAAAACACTCCACAGCTCATACGGTTTTTTGAGGATTTAATGAACAAATATATCTAAATGTGCTTACAATAATACCTAACATTTAGTAGGAACTCGATGAATGTTAGCTCATAGCAACTAAAGAGTCATTTAAGAAAGTCATAATTTCTTCACTTGGTCACTATGGCCCAATCTGACTTTCTTAAATTTTTTTAGCTTTTCTTCATTTACTTGACAGGTCATTGGTGAGTCTGCCTACTACTTTGAGTGTGTCCAACCAATAAAAATAAGTGGAGTTGAAAATATCTAATCTGACAACTAGTACTGACTAGGATATACTCCCTTGGAAGCAAGCCAGCATGACATCAAATAAAACTTCTGCTGCAGCATTGTGTTGTATTCATTGTTTTGCTTTCTGGAGGATGTCCCTCAGTGGTGAAGTCTGAGACCAGTGGAGTTCAGCTGGAAAAGCTGTTTTCCTGGGCTCTAATCAGACCATTTAAATTTCTGCTTCCTGACTACCTAAGAGCAGTCTGATTAGACTTTAACATCTCATCCTATTACTCTTCAAAATAATTAAGATAAGGCCAAGGCAACAACCTTAGGCTCTGTCTTCTCATTTCTGTCTCTTCTCCATAGCCCCATGACTCACTACTCCTAAGACACTTATATAAACCTGAAGAAAGAACATTTTGGGATTAGGGATTGCTTACATATTTGCCTTCTATTGAATATGGCAGAGTTCTTTTTTTTTTTTATTTTTAGGATTTTATTTGACAGAGACAGCAGGAGAGGGAACACAAGCAGGGGGAGTGGGAGAGGAAGAAAAAGGCTTCCTGCTGAGCTCAGAGTCCAACGCGGGGCTCAATCCCAGGACCCTGGGATCAAGACCTGAGCCGAAGGCAGACGCTTAATGACTGAGCCACCCAGGCACCCCGTATATGGCAGAGTTTTTAATATTTGATGAACTTAATGAAAATTCATTTCCTTAGTTTTAAAAATATTTTTTAAATTGCAGTATAGGGACGCCTGGGTGGCTCAGTCATTAAGCGTCTGCCTTCGGCTCGGGTCATGATCCCAGGGTCCTGGGATCGAGTCCCACATCGGGCTCCTTGCTCAGTGAGGAGCCTGCTTCTCCCTCTCCCTCTGCTGCTCCCCCTGCTTGTGCTCTCTTTCTCTGTCTGTGACAAATAAATAAAAATCTTAAAAAAAAAAATTGCAGTATAATTTACATACCATAAAATTCAGTCAATGTAAGTGTGTAGTTGAAGAATTTTTAGTAAGTGTACAGAGTTGTGCAACTATCATCCCAATCCAGTTTTAGAATGTTTCCATCCCGGGGCACCTGTGTGGTTCAGTGGGTTGGGTGTCTTTACTCGGTTTTGGCTCAGGTTATGATCTCCCTTGTGAGATCAAGCGCCGCATTGGTCTCTATGCTGGGTATGGAGCCTGCTTGGGATTCTCTCCCTCTCTGCCCCTCCCCCCCAACTCCTGCTCGCATTCTCTCTCTCAAATAAATGGATAAAATCTTTTCTTTTTTTTTTTTTAAAGAATATTTCCATCCCCCCTAGAAATTTCCTTTTGCTTATTTGTAGTCAGCCTCTACTCCCACTCCCCACTCCAGACAGTCACTGATCTACTTTCTGCCACTAGGTTTGTCTCTAGAAATTCCAAATTAATGAAATTGTATAATACATAGTCGTACCTATTTGGCTTCTTTTACTTCTAGTACTTTTGAGGTTCACCCATGTTAGTGCATATATTAGGAGTTTATCTCTTTTTTATTGTTGAGTCATCTTTTTTTTTATTTATTCATCCCCAGTTGATGGACATTTAGATTGTTTCCAGTTTTAGCTAATATGAACAAAATGATATATAAAACTTGCCCATACAAGTTTTTGTGTAAACATTTGTTTTAATTTCTTCTGGTTAAATACCTAGGTATGGAATTACTAGGTGGTATGGTAAGTTTATGTTTAACTTTTTAAGAAACTGCAGAACTTTTCCAAAGTAGCTTTACCATTATTCATTCCCACCAGTAGTGTTTGAGGGGTTTGTTGTTTTTTGTTTTTGTTTTTGTCTTTGTTTTTGTTTCCTTCCTGACAAATATTTGGTATTCATCTTTCCCTTTTAGCCATCCTAGTGGTTGTGTAGTGGTCTGATTGTGGTTTTTTTTTTTTTTTTTAAAGATTTTATTTATTCATTTGACAGAGATAGATACAGCGAGAGAGGGAACACAAGCAGGGGGAGCGGGAGAGGGGGAAGCAGGCTTCCGCTGAGCAGGAAGTCCGATGCGGGGCTTGATCCCAGGACCCTGGGATCATGACCTGAGCCGGAGGCAGACACTTAACGGCTGGGCCACTCAGGTGCCCCCTGATTGTGGTTTTAATGTGCATTTCCCTAATGACTAATATTGCTGGTCAACTTTTCATGTGCTTATCTGCCATTTGTGTATCTTTCTTGGTGAAATGTCTATTCAAATCATTTGCCCATTTTTAAATTGGGTCATTTGTCTTATTATTGAGTTGTAAGGGTTCTTTATATACTCCGAATAAAAACTAATTCTAATGCTCTTGAGCATCTTTTTGTATGTTTGCCATTCATGTATTTTTTTCCCTGGTATTTAACTATATTAAAATCTTTTACTCATTTGTAAATTGAGTTGTTTGTCTTATTATTGAGTTGTAAGAGTTCTCTCTAAATAAAGGAGATTTATCAGACATATGATCTGCAAATATTTTTCCCAGTCTGTGGCTTATCTTTTCACTTTTAATGGTTTTAATTTTGATGAAGTCCAGTTTATCTTTTTTTCTTTTTCTTTTATGGATTGTGCTTATGGTGTCATAGCTAAGAAATCTTTGCGTAGTCTCAGGTTACAAGATTTTTCAACTGTATTTTCTTCTAGAAGTTTTACAGTTTTTAGTTCTTTATTTAGGTCTAATATCCACTTGGAATTAACTTTTGTGTGTGGTGTTACCTAAAGGTCTACGGTTTTGTTTGTTTGTCTTTAATATGGATATCCAGTTGTTCCAGGACAATTTGTTCAAAACACTGTCTTTTGCCTATTGAATTACTTTGGTTACCTTTTTTGAGAATCAGTTGATCATAAGTGTGAAAGTTTATTTCTGGATTCTCTGTTCTGTTCTATTGATCGATATGACTATCCTTATGCTAGTATCATACTTAATTTGATTACTGAAGTTTTATAGTAAATATTCAAAATTGGGTAGTATGAGAACAAACTTGGTTTCTCTTTTTCAAAATTAAGTTGGCTCTTCAAGTTCTTTGTATTTACAAATAAATTTTAGGATCCCCTTGTCTATTTCTTCAAAAAAGTGTGCTGGGATTTTGACAGGGGCTCCATTGATTCTACAGGTCAATTTGGGGACAGTTGCCATCTTAACAATATTGTCTTCTAATCCAAGAACAAGGTATAGCTCTCCATTTCATTAGGGCTTCTCCTGTTTCTCTTAGCAATGTATTTGTAGTTTTCAGTGTATGGAGCTTGCACTCTTTAATAAATTTATTCCTAATATTTTATTCTCTATGATGGTATTAAGAATTGTTTAATTTCATTCTTTGGGTTATTTGTCACTAGTGTATAGAAATAACAGTTCATTTCTGTATTTTGATAATGTGTTTTACATCCTACCACATTTGCTAAGTTCTAGATTTTGTTGTTGTTGTAGGTTCTTTAGGATTTTCTACATATAAAAATCATGTCTTCAGCAAATAAATACCATTTTACTTCTTCCTTTACAGGATGTATGCTATTAATTTTGTTTTCTTGCCTTATTCCATGGGTAGAACCTCAGGTACAATGTTGAAAGAAAGTGGCAAAAGTGGACATCTTGCCTTGTTCCTGATCTCAGGGGGAAAGCATTAAAGACTTATCACTAAGTAAGTGGTTTTGTAGATGTCCTTTGTCCAATTGAGGAGTTCCCTTCTGTTCCTTGTTTGCTGAGAGTTTTTATCAGGAATAGGCATTGAATTTTTGTTAAATGCTTTTTCTTCACCTATTGAGTTGATCATATAGTTTTTGTTCTTTATTCTTAATGTGATATATAGTAACAATTGATTTTCAGGTATTAAACCAATCTTGCATTCTTGGTATAAACCCCACTTAGTCTAATGTAAAATTATTCTTACATGTTTCTGTATTCAGTTTGCTAATAATTTTGCTGAGGATTTTTGCATCTGTATTCATGAGAAATATAGGTCTATAGTTTTGTGATGCCTTTGTCTAGCTTTGGTATGGGGGTAATATGTGCCTCAAAATGAGTTGGGAAGTATACCCTCCTTTACTTTCTGGAAGAATTTGTGTGGAGGTTTGGTATTATTTCATTAAATCAATAGTTCTCAATAGGGGGCAGTTTTTGTCTCTCACAAGACATTTGGCAGTGTCTGGAGACATTATAGTTATTCAGTGCAGGTAGGGGATGCTTCTGGCATCTAGCAGGTAGAAGCCAGGAATGCTCCTGAACATCTTAACAATGCACAGGACAATCTCACAACAAAGAACTATCTGCTTCAAAATGTCAGTGATGCTGAGATGAGAAACTGCACTTTAAATGATTTGGTAGAATTTACCCCTAAAACTGTAGGTCACAGCTTTGCTTTGTGGGAAGATTTTTTTGTTATTAATTCAGTTTCTTTTATAGATTATTCAGATTTTCTATTTCTTCATGAGTGAGTTTTGGTAATTTATGTCTTTCTAGAATTTGTCCATTTCATCTAGTGGTCTGATTTCTTGGCGTAAAGTTTTTTATGGTGATCCTTTATAATGCTTAGCTTCCTGTAAGGTCAATTGTGATGTCTCCTCTTTCATTTCTAATAGTAATAATTTGTGTTTTTTCTCTCTTCAGTCTAGCTGAAGGTTTGTTAATTTTGTTCTCTTGAAGAATCAACTTTGGTTTTGAATTTTCAGTCTTCTATTTTATTGATTTCTGCCCTAGTTTTTATTATTTATGCTTCCTTTGAGTATTTCTTTTTTCGCTAGTTTTTCAAGGTAGAAGCTTAGGTTATTGATTTGTGATCTTTCTTATGTAGGGATTTATAGGTATAAATTTACATCTAAACACCACTTTAACTGTACATCATAAATTTTAGCATATAGTCCCCTCATAGCCATGGTTTTGCTTTCTGTGGTTTTAGTTACCCATGGTCAGCCATGGTCTGGAAGCAGACGATCCTCCTTCTGAATCATCAGAAGGTCATGCCTTGTCACAAAGCCTACGTCATTCACCTCACTTCATCTCATCACATAGGCACTTTGTTATCTCACACCCTCACAAGAAGAGGAAGGGTGAGTGTGGTACAAAAAGATACTTGTGTGTGTAAGAGAGATTATATTCACATGACTTTTATTACAGTATATTGTTATAATTGTTCTATTTTATTATTGTTAGCTTCTTACTGTGCCTAATTTATAAATTATAATTTATAATGTTATAGATTTTAAATTATTAAACTTTATCATAGGTATGTATGTGTAGGAAAAACATAGTATATATAGGATTTGGTACCAGCTCTGATTTCAGGCATTCCCTGGGAATCTTGGAATGTACCCCCCACAGACAAGGGGGGGGACTACTGTATTGTGTTTTTATTTTATTTTATTTTATTTTATTTATTTATTTATTTTAAAGATTTTATTTATTTTTTGACAGAGAGACAGCGAGAGAGGGAACACAAGCAGGGGCAGCGGGAGAGGGAGAAGCAGGCCTCCCCCGGAGCAAGGAGCCCGATGCGGGGCTTGATCCCAGGACCCTGGGATCATGACCTGAGTCAAAGGCAGACGCTTAGTGACTGAGCCACCCAGGCGCCCCGTGTTTTTATTTTCATTCGGATCAAAATATTTTCTAATTTCCCTGTTTCTTCTTTGACCCATTGATTATTTAGAAGTATTATGTAATTTTAAAATTTTTGTTGATTTGTAGCTTAATTGATTTGTAGCTTAATTTCAGTTATGGTTGAAGAACTTTATATAATTTCAGTTTTTAAAAATGTATTGAGACTATGATCCAGCATATGATTAATCCTGAAGAATACTCCATGTGTACTTGGGAAGAATGTATATTCTCCTGTTGTTGGATGCAGTGTTCTAATAGATGTCAGGTCAAGTTGGTTGACAGTGTTGTCTTCTACATCCAGCTGATTTTCTGTTTAGCTTTTCTATTACTGAGAGTAGCGGTAGTGGAATCTCCAACTATTATTTTTGAATTATCTATTTTCCTCCTATATTCTGTCAATTTTTGCTTCATATATTTTTGGACTCTGTTCTTAGGTGCCTCCATATATGTTTATAATCCTCGTATTTTCCTGTTGAATTGACCTTTTCATCCTTATAAAAAGTGCCTCTCTATTAATATCTTTTGTTTTAAAGTCTATTTTGTCTGTTGTCTCTATAGTTACTTCAGCTCTCTTATAGTTACTCATGGTATATCTTTTTCCATCCTTTATTTTTTTCTCCATTTAAAAAATTGTAATAAAATTACTCATATCATAAAATTTACCATCTTAACCATTTTTAAATGTACACTTCACTGGTATTAAATATATTTATAATGTTGTGCAACCATCACCACCATCCATCCATGTAATTTTTTTGATCTTGTAAAACTGAAACTCTGTACCCATTAAACAGTAACTCCTCTGCGTCCTTCCCCCCAGCCTCTACCAATCACCATTCTCCTTTCTGTCTCTGTAATACTGACTACTCTAAGCACCGCAGAAAAATGGAATCATACAGTGTTTGTCTTTTTTTTAATTAAAAAAAAAATTTTTTTTTTAAAGATTTTATTTATTTATTTGACAGAGAGAGACACAGCGAGAGAGGGAACACCAGCAGGGGGAGGGGGAGAAGGAGAAGCAGGCTCCCCGCCGAGCAGGGAGCCCGATGTGGGACTCGATCCCAGGGCCCTGGGATCATGACCTGAGCCGAAGGCAGTTGCTTAACCGACTGAGCCACCCAGGCGCCCCCAGTGTTTGTCTTTTTGTGACTGGCTTATTTCACTTAGCATAATATTCTCATGGTTCATCCATATTGTGGCATATTTCTGAATTTCCTTACTATTTAAAGCTGAATGATATTCCATCATATGTATATGGACACTTAGGTCCCTTCCATGTTATGAATAATTGTTATGAACATGGATATACAAATATTTCTTGAAGACCCTGTTTTCAGTTCTTGTGGGTATATACCCAAAGTGGAATTGCTGGATCATATGGTAATTCTATTTTTAATTTCTTTGAGGAACTGCCATACTGTTTTTCATGGCATTGGAAATGTACCATTGTACATTCCCACCAGTAGTGCACAAGCATTCCAATTTCTCCATATCCTCACCAACACTTGTTATTTTCTGTTTGTTTGTTTTTTAAGTAGTCTCCACACCTAGCGTGGTGCTTGAACTCACAACCCTGAGATTAAGACCTGAGCTGAGATCAAGAGTTTGACACTTAGCCAACTGAGCCACTGAGGCACCCCTATTTATTTGTTTTTTGATAGTAGCTATCCTAATGGGTGTGAAGTTGTATCTCATTGGAGTTTTGATTTGTATTTCTTCATGGTTAGTGATGCTGAACATCTTTTCATGTGTTTATTGGCCATTTGTATATCTTTGGGAAAATGTCTTTTCAAGTTCCTAGCCCGTTTTTTGAATCAGGTTGTTTTTGAGTTTTAGGAATTGTTGTATATTCTAGATGTTAATCCCTTATCAGATACTTGATCTGCAGATATTTTCTTCCATTATGTGGGTTGCCTTTTTTACTCTGTTAATAATGTTTTATGATGCACAAAATTTTTAAATTTTCATGTTCATCTTGTCTAGTTTTTCTTTTGTTGCCTGTTCCTTTAGTGTCTTATCCAAGAAATCATTGCCAAATACAGTGTTACAAAACTTGTGTCCTATGTTTTTTTCTAAGAATTTTATTGTTTTAGGTCTTACATTAAGGTCTTTGATCCATTTTGAGTTTTTGTGTATGGGGTTAAGGGTCCAACTTTGTTCTTTTGCTTGCATGTGGATACCCAGTCTACCCAGCATAATCATTGAAATCCTTTTATTTTTAACTTGTTTGCTTCTCTGAATCCAAAGTATATCTCTTATAGACAGCTATGGTTGGATCTTTTTTTTTTTTTTTTAATCCAGTAAATGTTAACTTTTTTACTATATCATTATTTTTATATCTCTCACAAATATATTTTCTTTACTATTTACAAAAACAGACAATGGATAGATTTGCCTGTGGGTTGTGATTTCCAAACCCTTGGTCTAGAAGGATTCCAAAGAATTACTTCATTCCATGTATTTATATCCTTATTAATTTAAGGCAGTATATATATTTCTTTAGCAGAATTCAATGTGTTTCTCATTGATGCCTTTGAATTAGTCCATAATTCCTTCAGTGAAGTGTTTTAATTGACCCATCCCTTCCTATATTCTCCTTGTCATTAAAATATGTGAGAAAATAGGCCATCCACACATGGAAGAGTTGACAGATCTGAGGCTGTTATTTCTCCTCCCCAGCCAGGCTTCTTGAAGCCTTAGACCAGTTAGTGTTTATGGCACCATCAACAAAGGTGTAAGAATGAAAGCTGGGAAAGAGGACAAGAGGTATAAGGAAAACAGGGTTCAGAAATCAGGGCTGTAGAGAGGCCTGGTAGTGCCTCTCTTATCTTCTGTAACGGCAAATGGTAAAACTCCTGTCAGAGCCTCATCAGAGCCTCTACAAGTTGAACGGTCTTGGCTGTGTATTAGGTAGAGTACCATCTGAATAAGCACCAGCACAGTGAAGAATTTTGTCTAACGTTATTTTCACATCTCAGGAACTGGGCAAATGAACACTTCTTTGATTTGTTCATGACAGATAATTCCATGGAACAAATCTCTCTTTTCCATGGATCTCCTATGAGTGTATGTTTTCATTAGAGTTGAGGAGAAGGAGGGGTTTAGCAAATGATTTTACTCCACCATGAAGCTTAGACTATGCTCCCAACTCCCTCTTTCCCAATCCTGTATTCCTCCCTGTCTTCTCAAACACTTCTAAAGGCCATGCAGTGGAAACATAAAGGAGGTAGGCAAGTTAAATGGGTAGGTGTGAATTCTGTTTAGGAGGTGGTGATTGGGGACAGAGCCTGGGACCTCCCTGATTGGGCAAGATCTGTCCCCAATCTTCTGTGTAAGGCAGTTAACTTTGATAGCTGGAATGGTGCTAGGGAAGAGGCCAAAGCCATAGATTCTAGTCTCATTAGTCCGTGTAACTCACTGCGTGCTCTCAAGCTCCTTAACCCTAGTGTACAGTTTTTCTGAAGGAAGTTTGTGTAATGATCTAACTGATCTTTCCCAAGTCAATATCCCTCTATCATCCAGCTTTAGTCTACTTTCTAGTCTCTCATTCCACAGTTAGTGAGCATTTATTATATGCTGAGAACCTTTATCAAGAACTGGGCAGCAGGAAAGTGGAGATGATGCCTATTGTAAGCTTATTTTGTATGCTTGCATATTAATTGGGCAGAAGCTCTGTTTTTCTGTCTCTGAACTTAGCCTGGTGTCTGGCACATACCAACTGCTCAATGAGTGTGGACAGATACCCTGTTCTCATGTACTGGGAGTCGCGATTCTATTCAATTCTCATTGCAACAAAACACTTTGAAAATCTCATGAGTTCCAGCCTAATTTCTCAGGGTCTCCATTTGGTTTCCTTTTCTTCCTGTGGAACCCTGAAAAGTGAATTTTAGCCTGCCATAACTTAAATATGTGGTTTTCATGCCTGAAAGCCTATGGCAACCGAAGCTCAGCATATAGTGATTAGACAGGAATTCCATAAAAACTTTCACTAAATCATAGAGGCTGTATTGGGAACTATTGGAAGCTATTAAAACTGTAAATAAAACAATTGAAAACTATAAAAAATATAGTTACACAATGTGATGATATCTTTGTACTCAAAATGATGCTGTTGAAAATTAGATAAATTTACTATTATATTCACTACTACCTTATTTGAACTTTTAAGTCTCAATTTATTCAGTTATTTCAACAATTTGATCAACTTCTTCAAGGGTATAGGCCTTCTATATCATAGAAGCATTTATCAGATCAGTCTTTCTGGAACCTCAGAAAATATACTGACCATTTCATTTTAGCAATTGAATATTCAGTAGTGAAGCATTTTGAAAGAATATGTTCCTCTCACACTACCCCCCACCCCCTGAAAAACACTGAGTGAAATGGACCTTGTGGATGAGCTGAAGAATTTCTTCTTATCCAAAAGTGTTTGCTTTCTTTTTTGCTGGAAAACAGTGCCTAACTTAGTCATTTAGAAGAAGTACCTAATTATAAAGCCAAAAGAATGCAAAGCCCTGCTTATCAGTTTCTTTTAGAAGATGAGATAGTGAGTGATAAGGTTTTCTGTTGTCCCACCTTGCTCTATTATTCGGCTTTTTAATTGGAGAATCATTGTCTGCCCCCTCCCTTTTCTGTTTTAATAGGAAACCTCCATTTTAGAGGAATACAATATCAATTGGACTCAGAAGCTGGGAGCTGGAATTAGTGGTCCAGTTAGGTAAGAGACGACATGCAAAACTATGGCAGAATTGCTCCGCAAAGGGCCATTTGACATACATTGTACAATAGAAGCATCAGGTGTGCCAGATTTGTGAAATAGCCTTAATTTAACAAGTGGACATATTTATATAAGGCTTTTCCTCATCCATTTAGAAATACATTTAAGTGACTGAGTCACCTGGTCTGTAACATAGAATCATTTAAGATATCGAGACTGGGGCACCTGGGTGACTAGGCTGGTTGTGTTTGACTCTTGATTTCGGCTCAGGTTATGATCTCAGGGTTGTGAGATCGAGCCCTATGTTGGGCTCGTGCTAGGTGTGGAGTCTGCTTAAGATTCTCTCCTTGCCCCTCTGTCCCCACCCCCTCATTCTCTCTGTCTCTCTCAAAAAAAAAAAAAGAAAAAGAAAAAGGATATTGAGACTGTGGAGCTACTGTGAGAGTTGCCAGCAAAGGCCATCCTTGGCCATTCCTTCCTTGGCCTTCTTCAGGTTGCTCCCACATGGCTCAGGAGCTGAGGCCTGTGCCGGGAGAGTGAGATGGCTTTTCTGCCTCTCCACCTGCTAGCCCTAGGGGCAAGTTTGTTTGGATGCACCCGGATATATTCTTGATTAGAAGTACAGTTCTAAAAGAACAAACCTATTAAATTAGTTTTCAGTGTAACGTAGATGATTTCTGATTGATTTTTTTTCCTCCAAATCTAGAGTCTGTGTAAAGAAATCTACTCAAGAACGGTTTGCACTGAAAATTCTTTTTGATCGTCCAAAAGCTAGAAACGAGGTATGACCCTTTATTGCCTTGATTTGCCTAAATATTGGAAGTGCCTACAGATTATTCTTTTTACAAGTAAGGCAGCTTCCTGGAGGGAATACAGAGATGCACAAAGAATTTTATATCCACATTTACCCCTTTTCCCTATTCCTGTCATCATTACAAAGTGGTCCCATATCTGTCAGTGCCAAAGGCTGTCAGTCTTCCTTCCTTAAAACCACCTCTTGTTCTTTTTCAATTAATGTGGTTCTTATACCCTGAAGTATTCAGGTTTACCTCAGCTTTTACTTATTGGCCAAGTTCCTTGAAGAGTGGAGAATGGTGACTAGTGTCTTGTAAGTGTGCTGCAGGAGGGTTGTGAGGATGTGTTTCTAGTTCTAAAAAATACACATTTGTTTTAAATCATCTGGGTGTGGTGATGACCTACTAGTAACATGTGCAGTGGAGGACGTATTCTTTTGCTTAGAGATACATGAATAATTTCTGAAACAAAATGAGTTATTTGCCAGATTTTTCATTTGCTAATGGGTGGGGCAGTAGAAGTAAATCTGTTGGTGAGGTGATACGTTTCCTCTGTTCTCTTTAAGGTACGTCTGCACATGATGTGTGCCACACACCCAAATATAGTTCAAATTATCGAAGTGTTTGCTAACAGTGTACAGTTTCCTCATGAGTCCAGCCCCAGGTAAGACTACATGGGGGTCATCACCACATGTCCACCTCTCTACATGTAGGTCAAGGTGTAGTGGGGTTTTCCTCTCTTTTGTGCTCTCTTTCCCCCTCCCCCTTTCTCTCCATCCCTCCTTCTCTTCCTGCCTGCCTGCCTGTTTCCCTCCCTCTTTCTCTCTTCTCTTCTTTTTATTTTGGAAAATTTCAAACATTTGTAAAAGCAGACAGAATTATGTAATGAATCCCCAGGTAGCCATCACCCAACTTCAACAGTTGGGTTGGCCAACTCATTGTCAGTCTTGTTTCATCTATGCCCCACCCACTCTTTGGGACCCCCTGATTATTGTGATTACTTTCTCTTAAAAAAAAAAAAAAAGTATGTAATGTGGAATTAAAATAGATTCTATTTCAAATTAGTGAAAGGGGACCAGATATTACTAGGCACTGGCTTAGAGTTGATATGGCAAAAAGCTCTTATTGCTTAGTCTGACATTCCTTTTAAAGGAATAAATCAACATTATTCTTTTAACTGCCAAATGTTTGGCAAGCCCACTGGGTGGCATTCTAAGTGTCTTCCAAGGGATTCAAAGTTAAATAAGGTATGATTTCTTCTGGGGACTGGGATGTCAACCTATCTTCATAGCAATGTGATAGGCACCAAGGAGAGGCATCCATAAGATATTTTGAGCTTACAAAGGAGAAGAGAGCTGCTAACTGTAGGCTGGGGAGGTGAGGTGTCTCACAGAGTGGTTATGTGGGGGCTAGGACTTGGTAGGATTCTTCCAGGTGGAGAAAGAAGATGGATTTGTAAAAACAAATGGGAAATCATAACTATTTCTTAACAACTGTGCTCTGTTGGTGAAAGCATTTGGATAGAAGCTGGAAGCATTTATATCAAAGAATGGTAACCAGAATTCCGATTTTTTTTTTTTTTTAACAACATGAGAATTTTTGCTTTTCTTTAGTAGCTGTGTAACCCTGTCCAGCTGTCTTGCTGGGTATGCTGTGGGTCACATGGAAAACTAGTATAGTGGGGAGAAGGAGTGGAGAGAGACACGCAGACATAGATACAGACATAGACAGACAAGGAATGAGAGTGAATACCAAGGTAGCCCACACCAGCCAAGTGACTTGAAATTCATATCCTATACAAAGTCATATTCTGTTTTCAATGCACTTTCTATCTAGCTGCCCTAAATATGATACTAAAACATGTCACTTAAAAGATCACCCCTGGGGCACCTGGGTGGCTCAGTCGTTAAGCGTCTGCCTTCAGCTCGGGTCATGATCCCAGGGTCCTGGGATCGAGCCCCACATTGGGCTCCTTGCTCAGCGGGAAGCCTGCTTCTCCCTCTCCCACTCACCCCTGCTTGTGTTCCCACTCTCGCTGTCTCTCTGTCAAATAAATAAATAAAATCTTCAAAAAAAAAAAAAAGATCACCCCCCCCTTAACATCTAGTAATAACAAGTTAAGTCCAGTATCTTCAAAAGGATCATTGTCTTCAAAACTTAATTATTTTACTCTCATTTTAGCGTCTTAGAAAATTTTAGGTGAGGGGTATTCCTTATCTATAGTGTCCAGTTGATAGTGACAAGGGGTCCAACTCCAAGGGGCATGGTAGGGCTAGACTTAGGAAGTAGTTACACACTTTGTAGATGAGGTATCTTTAGGTTAGCTATTTGATGTTTCAGTTTTTTTTTTTTTTTAACTTAACAAAATCAAATGCTTTCAAACAGGGCTCGACTCTTAATTGTAATGGAGATGATGGAAGGGGGAGAGCTATTTCACAGAATCAGCCAGCACCGGCACTTTACAGAGAAGCAAGCCAGCCAAGTAACAAAGCAGGCAAGTTAACCCCGGGTACCAATCAAACTGCCAACAATGTTGGTTAACAAGCACAATTTCATTGGGGGGAATAAAAGAAAGCTTGAAGAAAAGCTCTATTTGATCTCTCATTGCCTGCTTTGTTATGTAATCAGAAAAGATGCTTTGACAGGAGAAATGTGACCCCTTTTATGCTTGGGGGGGGACTGTATTTTTAAGTGGTTGTCAATTGATTGCCTATTATAAGATTTAAATAAACTCTGGAAGAAAGGTAATCTTTTAATTCCTCTGTAGACTGTAGATATCTTTGAGTATGTAGCATTCCAAGCAGTGTTGGACTTTGAGATAAATTGCTGTTGATAACACCTGAAAGATTGTATGGGATAAAAATATCTTCTGGGACAACTGTATACAAGATACTTTTTGCTTCTGAGTCACCTCATCAGATTTAATAGAATTCTAAGGTCTCTGTAATTCTGGGTTATTCCTGATTATAGTCTCTCTATTTTGACATCACATTTTATTGCTAGAAAAATGATTTATGTCACAAACAATACTAGGAATCTAACGAAATAACCTCTTGAGGAGGTGACAAGCTAACTCCACAAGGCTTATCTTCAGGCCAAGCAAGCAAGGCAAAAAGCAGGAAATCAGACCTCAATTGGTTCTAAATACAAAATTCTTCCAAATTTTCCATGAGCCTCAAGCATTCTTCCCTCACTTAAAGCAAGAATTCCTATCAAAAGTCTCTGCTCACTGGGCCAGAGCCCCTTGTGGCATTAGCGGAAGACTTGGCCCTCTGGTAGCGCACTAGCTGAGCTTGTGAGCGCCGCGGCCAGCCAGTGGCCTCAGCTTCAAGCGCTAACAGTGTGTGGGAGCCTTAAGCATTTTTGGATGCCTCCTTTCTGGTGGGGGGGAGCTGATATTTGGAATGCCAAGACAATTCCATACTGAGAGTTGAAGAACAGGTAGAATTTGTTCTATTTAATTTTAAAAATTACATCTTGTATTTTTCAAAGATTTCAAATATTAGGATGTGCTCTGAGAATCTCATATAAAACAAAAACCCTTCCAACCCACCTAAACAGGCGACATTTCATTTCAGCAAATGGGATGAGCAAATTGGAATATCAGGTGGAAAAATGCAGTTAGCAGCTTCCCATTTTTCTTGAAGGCAGAGCCTGGACTTGAACCCCCGGACAGTGCGGAGCCAGGTGTTAGTGCCCACTGTCCTGCTAGGGGAGCCCAGGCCCGCTGAAGACTGCCCGGCACAATGTTTACGCTGCCGTGGTGGGTGCATCTCAGAGGAGTGGAATTGGAAGCATTTCGTCCTTCCCATTTCGTACAGGGTTTAACTGTCCGTTTACTTGGACAAAGAAGTGTTTTACTGTTTTATTTATTTAGTTAGTTTAATGAAATACAGGTTGCAGCTAAACTAAGCTGAATTCATTTCTATTTCTTGGTACCCATCAGTTTACTTGGGCAAAGAAGTGTTTTACTGTATTTATTTATTTGTTTATTTATTTATTTAGCTTAATGAAATACAGGTTGCAGCTAAACTAAGCTGAATTCATTTGTTTCTTGGTACCCAAAGTCTTACTTAATTTCTGCTGTAAAATTGAAAACCAACCCCAGTCTTAATCGACTTAATTAAGGATTTTTTTTTTTTTTTAATATCCTGAGTTCTCTAAGCTAGGGGCATTAAAGAGCTATCTTTTCTAAGACATGGTTGCTCCATTGTGTCCTTTTCCAGATAGCTTTGGCTCTACAGCACTGTCACTTGTTAAACATCGCTCACAGAGACCTCAAGCCTGAAAATCTGCTCTTCAAGGATAACTCTTTGGTGAGATGACTTGTTTTTCTGCCTTTTAGTGCTGCCACTCTCAACACAGTTCGGGAATGGGTGTGTAGGTGTAGATTCAGAGCTCTCTGAATCCATGGTGAAGAGGCTTTAAGCCAAAGTGCTTCCAGCAGCTTACTTTCCCCACTTGTTTACTTGCTAGAGGCTCAGAGACATTCTACTATACCCCTGGCATTGATAATTTTGGATGGTACTGATATACATTTGTAAGACTTAAGATTTTGGATATGATTTGGGGGTGCTTTGGAAAGGGGCAGGAATCTATATGCTGTTAAATATTACCTTGAAGTGTAATAGTTGTATTTGCCGTTCATTAATGCTGATAAGGTGTTTTTTTTCTCTCCAGCCCCTTGTACCATGTCCCACCAAATAAGTTGCTCTGGCAATCTTGAAGTTGATGCTAAAAGTGAAATCACACCCTGGATTGCAGATGATGGGCCAGTAGATAGAGCCAGGGGGCACTTGGTTAAGATCTTGATTTTAGTACTGCATATACCAGTCATGAAACAAGGCCAACTATGAGTGGATAGAAATTCTTTACCTCTGTGTTACTAAGAAAAATTCCTCAGTATGAATCATTTCTCCAGATGTGAGGACATGTTATTCATAGGCTCTGGTGTCAGCTAGAAACTCGTGAGAGAGAGCACAAGATAACCTGTCTTCCACCTGGATTTTCCTTTAGTGTTTACTGAGAACTCTGGAGCAATGACTCCCATTTGTTTTATTTCAGGATGCCCCAGTGAAGTTGTGTGACTTTGGATTTGCCAAAATTGACCAAGGTGACTTGATGACACCCCAGTTCACCCCTTATTATGTTGCACCTCAGGTAAGCATTTACTCTTTCTGCCACAGGATGTGTCACCCGGCTGTCTGTAGACACGTTCTTCTCTTCCACAGCACAAGTGGGCATGTATTACCAATGGGAAGGGAAGAACTCAGCTTCAGAAACCTACAGTCTGCTTAACTAGATGCAGGCATTTTATTTTAAAATCAACTTGTTTTAAAAACAAGGTATGATTTGTATACAATAAAATACTCATGCTTTAAGTACAGTTTGATGAGTTTTGACAAATAGATACTCCTGGACGGACACCACCACAATCAAGATATGAAACATTTCTGTCACGTCAGGAACTCTTATGTATCTTTGTAGTCAGTTTGCACCAGGTAATCACTGATCTACTTTCTGTCATTATGGGTTAGTTTTGCCTGTTGTAGAAATTCATATGAATGAAACTCATGTACCTGTTGTGTTTCACTTCTTTTGCTCAGCATGTGTTTGAAATTCATCCACGTTGCTGCATATATCAGCAGTTAGTTCCTTTTTGTTGTTAAGTAGTGTTCTATCATAGAGGACTAAGCCATGTTTGTTTATCCATTCACTGACTGATGGCCATTTTGGGTTTTCTATTTTTGGCTATTATGAATAAAGCTGCTACGAACATTCATTTACAAGTTTTGGGGGACATCTTTTCCAAAATGGTTGTACCATTTTACCTATTCCCCAGTAATACATAAGAGTTGCAGTTGCTTCATGTTCTTACCATCAATTCATGTTTGTTAGTATATATAAGTTTAGTTTTTCTGGTAGGTCCATAATATTATTTCATTATGGATTTAATTATAATGCTTTCTTAATGGTTACTTTTGAGTATTTTTTCATGTGTTTATTAGACATTCTACTGTGAAATATGGGTAAAACATTCTCTTGTGAAGTATGGGTATAAATCTTTTGCCCATTTTTGGTTTTATAATTGTGAGGTATAAAAAGTTCTTATTTTCTGGATACAAGTTCTTTGTTGTATATATGTATTACTTTTTATTGCTACTGTGATGAATTGCCACAGACCTAGTACCTTAAAGCAACACATTTATTTCCTCACAGTTTTGGAGGTTAGAAGTCTGAAACGGTTCAAGGTGTTGTCAGGACTGTGTTCCTTCTGGAAGCTCTAGGGGAGAATCCATTCCCTTGCCTTGTCCAGCTTCAAGAGGCACTTGCATTCTTTGGTTGGTGGCCTCCTTCTCCATTTTCTTTCTTTCTTTTTTCTTTTAAAGGTTTTATTTATTTGTCAGAGAGAGGTCACAAGCAGGGGGAGGGGCAGGCAGAGGGGGAAGCAGGCTCCCCATTGAGCAGGGAGCCCGATGTGGGGCTCCATCCCAGGACCCTGGGATCGTGACCTGAGCCGAACGCAGACGCTTAACTGACTGAGCCACCCAGGCATCCCATCTTTCTCCATTTTCAAAGCCAGTACCATAGCATCTTCCAGTCTCTCTGACTCTGACCCTCTTGCTTCCCTTTCATAATTGTGATTACATTAGATACACCCAGATAATCCAGGATACTTCCCCATCTCAAGATCCTCCATTTAATAAAATCTGCAAAGTCCCTTTTGCTGTGTAGGGTAACATATTCACAGATTCCAGGGATTAGAACATGGATGTCTTTGGGAAGCCATTATTCTGCCCACCACATATATATATTATGAATATTTTTCTCAGACTGTGGCTTGCTTTTCAGAATAGCAGCAGTTTTTTATTTTTAAAAAAATTTTAAATTTTTGTTAAAGTTAATTAATTATATTATTTTTAAAAGATTTTATTTGACAGAGGGAGACACAGTGAGAGAGGGAACACAAGCAGGGGGAGTGGGCGAGGGAGAAGCAGGGAAGCTGAGCAGGGAGCCCGATGTGGGGCTCGATCCCATGACCCTGGGATCATGACCTGAGCTGAAGGCAGATGCTTAACGACTGAGCCACCCAGGGGCCCCAAAGTTTATTTATTTATTTAAGTAATCTCCATCCCCAACGTGGGGCTTTAACTCACAACCCAGAGATCAAGAGTCTCATGCTCCACTGACTGAGCCAGCCAGGCACCCTAGAACTTTTTTATTTTGATCAAATCCAATTCATCCCTTTTTTTTTTCTTTTGAGAGAGAGAGAGGGAAAGAAGAGAGGATCAGATGGAGAGGGAGAGAGAATCTCAAGCAGGCTCCATGTCCAGCATGGAGCCTGACATAGGGCTTGATCTCACAACCCTGACCTGAGCTGAAAACAAGAGTTGGATGCTTAACCGACTGAGCCACCCAGGCGCCTCTCACCCATTTTTTTTTTTAAATGGTTGGTGATTCTAAGAGGTCTTTCCATACCCATGTACATGAAGATTTTTCTCATGGTTTCTTATTAAAGGTTATAGTTTTAGCCTTTTTTTTTTTTAAAGATTTATTTATTTATTTTAGAGAGAGTGTTAGCGAGCAGAAGGGGGAGAGGGAGAAAAGCAGACTCCCACTGAGCGTGGAGCCTGACTTGGGGCTTGATCCCATGACCCTGAGATTATGACCTGAGCCGAGATCAAAAGTTGGATACTTAACCGACTGAGCCACCCAGGTGCCTCCCCCCACGTTTTTTAAGTAGGCTCCTTGCCTGGCACGGAGCCCAACACAGGACTTGAACTCATGACCCTGAGATCAAGACCTGAGCTGAGATCAGGTGTCAGATGCTTAACCAGTTGAGCCACCCAGGTGCCCCTATCGTTTTAGCTTTTACCTTTTGGACTGTGATTCATTTGACGGGTGGTGTCTCTGTGTGTGTGCGTGTGTGTGTGTGTGTAAAATAAGGGTCAAAGTTCTTTTTCCTTATGGATGTCAGGTTTCCACATCATTTGTTGAAAAGAATAACCTTGTGTCATTGAATTACCTTACAGTTTTGTTGAACTGAATTATCTTGCAGTTTTGTCAAAAATCAGTTGACCAGGGGCACCTGGGTGCCTCAGTCAGTTAAGCATCGCACTCTTGATTTTGGCTCAGGTCATGATCTCAGGGTTGTGGGATGTAGCCCTGAGTCAGGCTCTGGGTTCATTGCAGAGTCTGCTTGAGATTCTCTCTCTCCCTCTCCTTCTGCCCCTCCCCACCTCGTATGAATGAATGAATGAATATCTTTAAAAAAATCAATTGACCATATATGTGTTAGTCTATTCTATTCTGTTCTATTCTGCTTATGTATCTATCCTTACTGCTATATCATGTGGATTACTGTAGCTTTATATTAAGTCTTGACCTCGGATATCAGATAGTGTAAGAAGTCCTTCAAATTTATTCTTTTTCAAAATTGTTTTGATTATTCTGAACCCTTTGCACTTTTCTGTAAATTTTACAATTCACTTCTCTATAACGGAAAAAATCTCCTGGGATTTGATTTGGATTGTGTTTAATTTGCTGATGAATTTGGAGAAAGTTGACCTCTTAACATTATTAAGTCTTTCACTTGATCTTAGCCAAAAGGCTGAGGAGCGATCATTATTAAGTCTTTTAATCAGTGAACATGGTAGATCTCTCTATTTAGGTCTTTAATTTTTCTCAGAAATATTTATATTTCTTAGTGCATAGGTTTTGTACATACTTTAAGTTTATTCCTATATTTTATATTTTTGGATGCTGTTAGAAATTATATTTTTAACAATTTCATTTTCCAGTTGTTTGTTGCTAGTTTGTAGAAATACAAATGACTTTTGATCCCTTGTATCTTGCTAAATTCACTTATCAATTATAGTAGATTTTTTGTAGATTTGTTAAGATCTTCTACATACAAAATCATGGTTGTCTGTGAATAATGACATTTACTTTGCTCTTTCCAGTATGTTTGCCTTTTATTTCTTTTCCTTGCCTTATTGTACTGGCTGGGACCACTAGCTGAATATAAGGGATTAGAGCAGACCTCCTTGCCTCATTCCTGATCTTAGAAAAAATGTTCAATCTTTTACCATTAACCATATTAACTATTACATTTTTGTAGATACCCTTTTTCGGGTTGAGGAAGTTTCCTTCTATCCTATTTTACTGAAAGGGAATGTGTTAAATTTTGTCCAATGCTTTTTCTGCATGTTAGCCTGATAATATATTTTTCTTCTTTATTTTGTTAATATGATGAATTAATTGATTTTTTAAAAGATTTTATTTATTTATTCATCAGAGAAAGAGAGAGCAGGAGCAGGGGGAGCGGCGGGCAGAGGGAGAAGCAGGCTCCCCACTGAGCAAGGAGCTCGATGCGGAACTCGATCCCAGGACCCTGGAATCATGGCCTGAGCCGAAGGCAGATGCTTAACGCACTGAGCCACCCAGACGCCCCACAATTTACCAATTTTTAAAAATATTTTTGGGGGATGACTGGGTGACTCAGTCATTAAGCGTCTGCCTTCAGCTCAGGTCATGATCCCAGGGTCCTGGGATCGAGTCCTGTGTCGGGCTCCCTGCTCGGCAGGAAGCCTGCTTCTCCCTCTCCCACTCCCCCTGCTTGTGTTCCCTCTCTCACTGTGTCTCTCTCGGTCAAATAAATAAATAAAATCTTAAAATATATATATATATATTTTATGGGCTCAGCTTTTGGTTTCCTATGTGTAAGAAATCTTTGTCTCACCCAAGATCACCCAAGATTTCCTCCTACAAGTTAATAGTTTCACGTTTTGCATTTATATGCATGATCCATTTTGATTTAATTTTTGTATAATGTATGAATATGAATCTAAGTTCTTTTTTTTAGCATTTGGATATCCAGTTCCAGTACCATTTGTTGAAAAGGCTATCTTTTCTCCATTGCATTGCTTTTCAATCTTCATCAAAGATCAATTGAATGTGTATGTGTGGGTTTAATTTTGGTTTTTCTGTTCTGTTCCAGTGATCTCTTTGTCTTTACACCAGTACTGTACTGTCTTGATTACTGTGGCTTTATAATAACTTTTTTTTCTAATAACTATTGAGATAAGGTAGTGTTAGCCCTCCAACTCAGTTCTTTTTCATAGTTGTTTTGGCTATTCTAATTTCTTTGCATTTCCATATAAACTTTTTTTTTAAGATTTTAATTATTTATTTGAGAGAGAGAGAGAGAGACAGAGAGAGTGACAGAGAGCATGAGCGGGGAGGAGAGGGAGAAGCATGCTTCCCGCTGAGCAGGGAGCTTGACACGGGACTAGATCCCAGGACCCTGAGATCATGACCTGAGCCAAAGGTAGATGCTTAACCAACTGAGCCACTCAGGTACTCCCATATAAACTTTAGAAACAGCTGTTAATTTCTACAAAAAAGCCTGCTGGGATTTTGACTAGGGTTGTTTTAGAGGTATGGTTCAATATGAGGACCCTGACATCTGAACAATACTGAGCCTTCTAGCCCATGAGCAAGCTGTATTGCTCCATTTATTTTTGCCTTTAGTTTTTCTCAGCAATATTTGTGTGGTTTTCAGTGTACAGGTCTTTCCCATCTTTGTTAAGATTTATTCTATGGTGCTATTATAAATGGTATTTTCTTTTTCAGGTTTAATTAATTCGCTTTACTCTTCTTGTATAAAAACACTATGTGGTGGCCATAGCTGGAGCCTGGGTCCTCCGCATGGAGACTCTGATGTGGGTCTTTACAAGATGGTCAGTGAATTCCTGACAGGGAGACTTGGTGAACACAGTCTCTTTCCAGAGTGTTGGGGTAAGGCAGCTGTAGGTCTTGGAGATGGCATCGAAGGTTGCTTTGGCAAAGTTGCCCCTGGTGACACTGCAGCCCCTGGCTGAAGTGTGGCAGTTGTCAACATCTGCCATCGGCAGCTTCGTGGGCATGGGGCTAAGACCATAGCGTGGGTCTGGGTGTGAGAAGGAAGCAGACCAGTGCATAGTTGCAGCATCCTGTCATCCTGCAAGGAATCTGCGGGGTATGCCAATATTGTTCCCCCAGGGGTCTCGCTGCACAGGACAGTGGAGAGCTTGGCCAGGATGATGGCCCCATGGATGGCAGTGGTCACCTCCTTGAACACTTAACACCCAGACCAACATGACTGTTATAGTCCTTGATGGCAACAAGTACCTTAAACCTGATCCACTGGCCAGCACTGGTCTGCTTTTATACAGGCATAAGGGATGTTTATGTCTCCAGGAAAAAGTCCATGATCTCGGATGCCTTGATGGGCAGGAAGAAGAGTTAAATCTCTTCCAAGGACTTGATCTTCATGTCCTTGACCTGGGCAAAAACTCATAAATTGCTGGTTATAAGAGGGAAAGCAGGTTTTTGCAAGTTTGTGTTTTCTGGAGGGTTGGGTTTTTTGTTTTGTTTTGTTTTGTTTTTAATTGTTAACTGCCAGTGTCTGCTCTCCTTCAGCATTCTTTTTCAACATTCTTTCTCAAGCTGTAGGTCATTTGGTGTGGTTTTCAGTAAATTGTCCCCTTTGGTCTGACTCTGACAGGTATTGGAGGCACAGAGAAGGCATCAGAAGGAGAAATCTGGCATCATACCTACCTCGCCAACACCCTACACTTACAACAAGGTAGGGGAAGAGATACTTACCTGTACCCTTCAGGTATAGCCCCTCTTCTCCTGTGGGGTGTTTGTGGTTCTTTGGGAATGAATTCTTTGGAATTCTAAGGGAATTCTTATCCCTTAATATTCCTGTCCAAAAGGCTGGCAACAGCCACACATGCAGAAGATTCCTTGGAATTCAGGTTTTTTTGTCTGATGAAATATGAAATAAGTTTCTTAACAATTGAGGTTTTGCAGCAGTAACCAAGGGCAGTGGTCACCTGTAGGTTATTTATTTGGATAGTTGTAGTCCACTGACCACATTTAAAAGACGTGGTTGTCTTGCCTTTTTTGAGGTGGAGGCCATTTCTGGGAACATTCCATGGCCATTTATGATACTGTTCTTTCTTCCTGTAAAATACCCAACTTAGAAGTGTCTACAACACAACAGCAAGTGTTCCTGGTCTTACAGTTCTCAGTCTGTAGCCTGCATATCAAGCATTTCTGTTCTAAAACACAAGAGGATTAGGGCCTCTTAAAGCAGGTCCTGGAGTCGCTGAGTAGATCAGAAAAAAAAAATGATGCTTCCTGGGGACTCCTGGCTGAATATAGATGACAGAGAGGGACCTGAGGGTGGTAAAAAGGCAGTAGGTTGGCTCTTCTTGGGTCCCACACTTTAGGGCCCCACATGTTCCTATAGCACGTGCACACACGTACACACAGGCAAACGTCAGAGAGAACACCCAGGCTCCTCTGCCACTCAGGACCCTGTGCTCTACCCTGTCACTGGCACAGTGTAACCAAGAACCCAAAACATCTACTTTCATGAGTAATACTGGTCAGTCCCCAAGAAATCACTGCTCCACACCTTCTTGCCCTACAAACTCAAAATCATAGTCAGCTCTACTCTTATGTAGTGAAGGTTTGAGGGCTGTGCTGATTACAGCATCAGAGTCAGAAACTGCTTCCCGCTTCTTGATGCATGCAGGAAGTGAGTGGTAGAAGCATTTAGATGACGTTAATTTACTTGCGAAAATTTTCTCAGCATGAGTACAATGGATTCTTGTATGATATATTATTTTCCAGTAGTATTTTTGTCTTCTTTTCCTGTTCCATTTTGTGAACCCCTAGTGGTGCTCATGAATTAGCATGGCATTCATAAAAATTACACACTGCAGATGAGTAGCCTGTTGGAATAATAAACAGCTCATATGACTTTTGAATGTGTATATATATTAGTCTAGAGATAATCCTCTTTATATTGGCAACTAAGTCAACACTGAATGCTACATTTGCAAATAATATTTTAACAAAAATCTGTAATAAGATGTAATTAAATTTTTGGAAGTCAAATAACTACATCAATCTTAAAAAATAGTATCAGTTTCCTCATGTGGAAAGTGAGGGATTTGAACTACTTTTTTTTAAAAGATTTTATTTATTTATTAGAGAGAGAGAGTGAGCACAAGTAGGCAGAGTGGCAGGCACAGGGAGAGGGAGAAGCAGGCTCCCCATTGAGCAGGGAGCCTGATGTGGGGCTCGATTCCAGGACCCTGGATCATGACCTGAACCGAAGGCAGGCGCTTAACCGACTGAGCAACCCAGGTGCCCCAATTTGAACTGTTTTTAAGATTCCTTTCACCTCTATAATTTTTTTTTTTAAAGATTTCATTTATTTACTTGAGAGAGAGAGGGAGAGAGAGAGCATGAGCGGGATGAGGAGCAGAGACAGAAGCAGACTCCTTGCTGAGCAGGACCCCGGGATCATGACCTGAGACAAAGGCAGATACTTAACCAACAGAGCCACCCAGGCACCTCACCTCTATAATTTTATTTATTTATTTTTTTAAAAGATTTTATTTATTTGACAGAGAGAGACACAGCGAGAGAGGGAACACAAGCAGGGGGAGTGGGAGAGGGAGAACAGGCTTCCTGCCAAGCAGGGAGCCTGATGTGGGGCTTGATCCCAGGACCCTGGGATCATGACCTGAGCTGAAGGCAGACGCTGAACGACTGAGCCACCCAGGCGCCCCAATTTGAACTATTTTTAAGATTCCTTTCACCTCAATAATTTTTTTTTTTAAGATTTCATTTATTTACTTGAGAGAGAGAGCATGAGCCGGGTGAGGAGCAGAGGCAGAAGCAGACTCCTTGCTGAGCAGGACCCTGGGATCATGACCTGAGCCAAAGGCAGATACTTAACCAACTGAGCCACCCAGGCACCTCACCTCTATAATTTTATAATTATGTTCTGTAGCATGGGTCATGTCGTCTACAAATACCCATTAGTATGATGCAAAAACATGGGTGGGAGTACCTGAGACATCCCATTTTCTAGGCTTCTATCAGCAGGACACAGCTGTGGTATGGCGAGAGCATGTGGCCACAATGGTAGACTCCCTGGGCTGCCTTTCTCAGGCAGACACTGTTTTTATCCTGTGATTCAAGACAGGCTTGAACTGAAGCCTCTGAGGATCCAGTTTCTGAGGCAGGTAGAACTGCATTTAACTAAATTAGGAGTCCTTTATTAATAACCATGCTGTGATTATAGCCCATGAAGGCACCTAATACCTACAGACAAAATAGTTGGTGGCAGTTTTCTTTCTTTCATATCTTCTCCAAGAATGGTGTGTGGTCCTGGAAATGGGTACAGCGAGTCCATCTGTGGCCAAAGGAGTGCTTTTAGACCTCTTGTTCTTCCCTCTACTGCCTCTTCCTGCTTTGGGCCTTTACAAAATGACTTATGCTGTATTATGGGGTCAGCCTACCTGTGTCTTAGCTGCTTTGTGCCTGCACCCTCAACCCTGCCCAGATTGACAGTGTACATGTTTCCCAACCAGCTGGCTTATATCTGTTATTTCTTTGGCTGGAGATGAAGTATCCTATACCTGTACCCAAGGATCAGCTAGTAGCTTGGGCCTGAGCAGTGAGAATAAAAGAGACTGTTTATTTCACCCTAGACTGGCCTTGTATGCTGGTGTGTATATATGTAGTGTTGGTGGCATAGAAAACCTATGATAGAAAGAAAGGTTGGTTCCCTTAAGACTTCCTGAAACTTTTTCACTCTCTGTAAAGTGATTTTTGGAGATACCAGCCTGTGTATGTTAGGGGCTGTTTCTGGGCTGGTCCTGGGGGCTTTATTTTGGGGCTGTGCCTCTGCTGTAAGTGACTATTTTCATTTTCCTTTCAGAGCTGTGACTTGTGGTCCCTAGGGGTGATTATCTACGTGATGTTGTGCGGATATCCTCCTTTTTACTCCAAACACCACAGCCGAACTATCCCAAAGGATATGCGGAGAAAGATCATGACAGGCAGTTTTGAGTTCCCAGAAGAAGAGTGGAGCCAGATTTCAGAGATGGCCAAAGATGTTGTGAGGAAGTGAGTCCCCAGGCTGTGGGGTGGGGAGGCCAAGGAGGCCTTAAGGTGGTGGATCACAGGGGAAAAGTCTTTGGTTTCCCAGGCATGCTCCTTCTCATTGGCGCATCATAGAAATCTTATCCCTGGAGCCTGAGATGAGAGCTCTTCATGTCCACACCTTGGTGAAAATGGAGCTTTGCTCCCTCTTGTCGCATTCTTAGAATTTGTCCCCAGGGTTGCGAACCCAGGTGCCTTGGAGCATTAATTTAGGACCTTAAATGGTAAGCCCCATGGTGTGCCGTTCCTGCATGTTAGCCAGTCATGTGGAGCAGACATGGCGTCAGGAACTGAACTCAGGCTAAGATGACAAGGACATTTTGGCTTTTCATTTCTTGGCTGCTGTGGGGGGTAGGTGGCTGATTGTATGGGCCTCTAGCCTCCCCAACTGCTAAGACAGATTTAGAAGGTTTAGTGCTAGTGAGTGGGTGAGGGAGAGTTGACAGTCAGAATCCTTTGGTAGCTGAAGGACTAGGTAAGAAGTCAGACCTAAATTTGACGTATATTTGCTTTTCCTGCCCAGCTGTGTGGGAGTCTCAGCTGCCTGGGATTTGGGCACTCTTCTGGTATTCCTACTGCTTGGTGTTCACTGAGTCATTTTTCTCTTTTGGTTTCAGTTTCTTTATCAGTAATACGAAGATAAGCATCAAAGGGGGAGTGCCTAGGAGCTTTCTCCTGACAGTACAGCCATTTCTCTATGGAGATTACTCCCTTTCAATAGAGAGCTTGTCCTGTTGGTTAAGGATCTATGTATATAAAGACAGACTAGTTTCTATAACATACAAGTAAAAGTTTTTAGGAGGGTGGAGACAATGTTTAAAGCATCACCTATCTTCCCATGCTGTTTCCACACTGTATTCTCAGCTACTTAATCAAAACATCAATATCCTCCAAGTGGTTCTTTGTCAATTCTTTTTTTTTTTTTTTAAGATTTAATTTATTTGACAGAAACACAGCGAGAGAGGGAACACAAGCAGGGGGAGTGGGAGAGGAAGAAGCAGGCTTCCCGCCGAGCAGGAAGCCCGATGCAGGGTTCCATCCCAGGACCCTGGGATCATGACCTGAGCCTAAGGCAGACGCCCAGCAACACAGCCACCCAGGCACCCCGTTTGTCAGTTCTATAGAATATATTTCCTGTCCCTAGAGCAATATTATCTTCTTTCAGCTTTGGGATTCTTTTCTAAATAATCATTTCTTCAGAATCTGAAGCTGTTTGTTCAGAATGATCCAGAAGGTTGCAGAGAACCTGAAAGAGCAAGTACACATGTTGTCCTGACTGACGTTTACAATGAGAGGATGTGTAGTTGGAAGGAGGGGCTAAAAAGCCCAGGGAACATGCTGAGGTGGGCCATGAATTGCATCAGCATGAATGGACAAGATGTGAAGAAGTAGGATCAAAAAGCAGATGGTACAGAGAAATACATTCGGCTTAGAAGGAAATGCCATCCCCTTATCAAAGACTTTAGATTTTTTGGCTTTTGAATGTTTCTGGAATAAAGGGTTCATGTCCTGCCATATGGTGACATCTAACAGTTTTATCACAAGTAGCAACCTGGATTTTCATAACCACATGACCCCTCAACTAATTTTGTAGCCACTGTCAGCCAAAAGAGCACTTTGAGTCCCTTTTGGAAATTGGAGTCCACTGTCCTAAAAACATGGATGTGGAGATTCAAGTCTCAGGAACTATAAACTATATGTAGGCTTATTGAACCTGGAACTCAGTCTGAAGTATCACTGGGTTAAGCCTTATCCTGCCATTTTTATCTCACTCTGTCTAGTGTAGAAAGGACTACCAAAGGACACAGTGCCTTCACCACTAGGGGTTAGGTACTAGATCCCCACTCCTGCCTGCAGATGGAAAGCCTGTGCTTGTAGGAGTTGGTCGAAAGTCAGAAGTTGGAGCTGTTTATACTAGAGCCAGGAATTTCCTGGCCTTCTGGAAGCAGCTATGCATGGCAGCCCTGTTGGCCTTTTCTCCACAGGCTCTTGAAGGTCAAACCAGAGGAAAGACTCACCATCGAGGGAGTATTGGACCACCCGTGGCTCAACTCGACTGAGGCCTTGGATAATGTGCTACCCTCTGCTCAACTGATGATGGATAAGGTTTTGAATGATACTTACTTTGTTCACCAAAAAGGCTGTGTTGAGAAGGAATTCTGGGACAAGGCTCAGGGAGGGGTCAAAGGCAGAGCAGAGAACTCAGTCTTTCCCAGAGAGACATCCCTGCTTTCCTGAAAATCAGGATCTGAAATAAAAGCTTCTTTGCATAAAAGACCAGATCAAGGCCCGGTAAATATACACTAAGTGAAAACTCAAACCCTCCATATTTGTGCTTTGGTGTTGGGGGGCACAGAGTACTATGAGACAACCTCCCTTCCCCCGAGGGGCTTAAACAAGACTGGAGAGACCAATTTATGTGAAACAAGGAGGGAACATTTCAGACATCAGAGCTTTGCATGCTACATTTTCTACGAACGCTATGGGAATTCAGAAAAAGAGAACATCTTTGAAGGGCTGTAATTAGGGAAGGGTTCCCAAAGAGAAGGCAAAACCCCTCATATTTATTAATTACTGCATGGCAGTTTTTAACCTATTCACATGTTTAGGCATGAGCTGCCTTAAAGAATTTGAGTAGACAACAGGGGTGCCTGGGTGGCTCAGTCGTTCAGCGTCTGCCTTCAGCTCAGGTCATGATCTCAGGGTCCTGGGATCGAGCCCCGCATTGGGCTCCCTGCTCAGCGGGAAGCCTGCTTCTCCCTCTCCCACTCCCCCTGCTTGTGTTCCCTCTCTCGCTGTGTCTCTCTGTCAAATAAATAAATAAAATCTTAAAAAAAAAAAAAAAAAGAATTTGAGTAGACAACATATGTGGCCAAGTGCAGTGAGCAACAGGAGCAAACAATTACAGACAGAAGTGCATCCATGGGGAAAACCACCTGGCTTCATTAATGGGAAGTCAGTGCAATACATGTGGCAGGGCCAGGCTTTGAAAGCACACAGAGGGTCTTAAGTCTTAGTAGGACATAACTGAGAGGCCATTGTCAATTTTGGGGAAGAGATTCGCCACAAGGAAGGTATTTAGGGATGGTCAGCCAGACTTGCAGACTTGTCAACCTAAGACTTCTGCAGTAATTGACAAGCCCGGGAGCAGCTCTGGGAGCAGAGAAGTAGAGACAAGTGAAATCTTTTTTAAGATTTTTTTTATTTATTTGATGGAGAGAGACACAGCGAGAGAGGGAACACAAGCAGGGGGAGTGGGAGAGGGAGAAGCAGGCTTCCTGCCGAGCAGGGAGCCCGGTGCAGGGCTCGATCCCAGGACTCTGGGATCATGACCTGAGCTGAAGGCAGATGCTTAACGACTGAGCCACCCAGGCACCCCAGGCTCAGTATTTTTGAAGACAAATTTCTACAATTTGGGGTGACTTACTAGATAATAAGGGGACAATGGGTATCATATCTAGTGATACCATTAACAAATAGAGGGAAATCAGGATCGAGGCTGGTTCAGGTCAAGGGAAGTCTCTTAGGTTTTAGATATTGCTTAGATGGACATGCAGACGAATGAGATGTGTTGTGTGGGACCGCAGTGTGGCTGAGAGGTAAAGGCAGAGACACAGGCATATGCTTTACCTACTTAGAAGGGAGGGGGACTGAAGTGTAAGGAAGAGTAAGGGAACAGGAAAAAAGAATTCTTTTTTTTCCTAAAGATTTTATTTATTTGAGAGAGAGAGCAGGAGCCAAGGGGCGGGGAGGGACAGAGGCAGAGGGAGAAGGACAAGCAGACTCCCTGCTGAGTGGGGAGCCCGCCATGGGGCTCATTCCTAGGACCCTGAGATCATGATCTGAGCCAAAGTCAAACGCTTAACCAACTGACCCACCCAGATGTCCCAGGAAAAAAGAATTTTTTTTTTTTTAAGATTTTATTTACTTATTTGACAGAGAGAGACACAGCGAGAGAAGGAACACAAGCAGGGAGAGTGGGAGAGGGAGAAGCAGGCTTCCTGCTGAGCAGGGAGCCTGATGTGGGGCTCGATCCCAGGAGCCTGGGGTCATGACCTGAGCTGAAGGCAGACGCTTAACGACTGAGCCACCCAGGCGCCCTGGAAAAAAAAAAATCTAAGACCTCCCTTAGTTTTGTTGGAGTATGGGAAAGAAAGCTGGAAGGAACAAAGTTCTCTGCCATCTCTGATTTGTGTGTGGTCTCTTTCTGGTTTAAATATGCCTAGTAGTCCAGAATTGGTTTGATCAGTCCAAAATCTTAAGGGATTGCTTAGATCAGCACATGAGGGTTACAGTGTGGCTTTCCTCAAGATCTTGGAATTGAAGAAATAAGATTGCTTTCTAGAGTTACTGTAGAATTAGTATATAATTAAGCCAAATATGGATATGCGAATCTTAATGAGAAAGAGTGGCCCCGAGGCCCATAAGGTGGAACTGCAAGGTGACAATATATTCCCATTTTTAAAGAAATTATGGGGTCATGATGTGAGTTGACTAACTTTGTAGAAAAATGGCCACATATGCAGATGTTGAATAGTGTCCATTTAAGCCCTGCCTAGGAGATGGAGCCTGAGCTCCAATAGGGTATAGCCAGAGCCAGCGATTACAGTTCCTTTAAATGAGTTCAAACTCTACCTGATCTAATCACATGCTTAACATGGAACTACTTTTTAAAATTGTCAAATTTTATTGTTGAAATTAATACAGAGGTATGTATTTTTATAAAGCATAATTTCCTTTTCATTCCTCTGCCTCAGTCTCACCCCTCAGAGATGAGGTAATCTCTGGCTAAGTGTATCCTTCCTAATCTTTTTCTGGGGAGACACACATATACTCACAGTTTGTCCTTTTTTAAAATATAAACATAGGATCATCTTTTTTTTTTTTTAAGATTTTATTTATTTGTTTGAGAGAGAGAATGAGACAGAGAGAGCATGAGAGGGGGGAGGGTCAGAGGGAGAAGCAGACTCCTGCCGAGCAGGGAGCCCGATGCAGGACTCCATCCCGGGACTCCAGGATCATGACCTGAGCCGAAGGCAGTCGCTTAACCAACTGAGCCACCCAGGCGCCCCTAAACATAGGATCATCTTGTTCTTAGCTTTCTGCTGATTATTTACCTGCCTTAATTGGTCTGCCCATAGTAAGAGCTCACACTAGTCATAAAGACACAGGCTTCAAAAGTTCTAGACTCCATGACAGTTATTTCTCATGGTAAATTAATTGACTTGTAGATGAGTTCCTGAGATCTACCTGCTTACCATGTGAAGTGCTTGGGGTTCTGAGCCATTGGGGCTGAAGTGACTGTGCACACCGTGGGGGCAGTGAATAAATGCCACTGTGGGGGGCTTCTCGGGCAGCAGCTTACCAGCCTTTTCCCTGATGTACATGAATGCCTCTCTTTACCCTTGCTCTTGCCAATGACTGTGAACATGACTCTTTTTAGTATTTCTTACTTGCATTTCTGTCCCTGTGCAGGGAGGAAGGGCCAGCTGTTGTATGGCCCTTGGTTTGCCTGGTATTCCCTGGGCTTGCTGATCCATGAAGAATGCTCTGACTTATCAAAATTTGTGTCCTGCCAGCATAACAGTGAAATTGCCTTCTTAGTTCTTGGAGCTTCTCCTTCACAGTTTCTTAGATTAGCTTTTTAGGTGCCCTGAAGTGAGTGTGAAAACTGATGATAGTGTTTACATTCAGGCGGTGGTTGCAGGAATCCAGCAGGCTCACGCGGAACAGTTGGCCAACATGAGAATCCAGGATCTGAAAGTCAGCCTCAAACCCCTGCACTCTGTGAACAACCCCATTCTGAGGAAGAGGAAATTACTCGGGTAACTGAGCTTATTCTGTGGATTTTCCTTCATGGCTGGTATGGCTGAGTGCAGGGTTCTGAAAGGTTAGCCAGGGGTTTGCCGTTTTGCTGCCTCTTAAGAGGGTGGAAAGGATAAGCCCTTTAAATAGCATCAGAAGTTGGAGACACTCTGTAGTTAATTATTTATCTGAAACATGTGCTGCCTTATGCTTTAGAGTTAACTTCTGCGGAGAGTTGGTTTCTGAGGTTTCACCTTGTTATTCCCTCTCTTCCAAACTTTTAAAGCACCAAGCCAAAGGACGGTGTTTATATCCATGACCGGGAGAATGGAGCCGAGGATTCAAATGTTGCCTTGGAAAAGCTCCGAGATGTGATTGCTCAGTGTATTCTCCCCCAGGCTGGTAAAGGTCACGCCATTTATGAATGTTCCGTGTGCGTGCGTGCGTGCGTGCACATGATAGAAGGAGCAGTTTAATATGAGGTGGTCTTTCTGATCTTTGTGTTATAAGAAGATAAGTACATTATATAAATTATTTTCTGCCCACTAAAAAGAGAGGGCAGTGGGAACTCAGAAAGGTGGTAAGTTCTGCCCCTCCTTTGGTTTTCTGTGAAACCGCTAGTTGAGGTTTAATTACCAGTGTCTGGTGCAGCGTGCAGTTTTGTGTTTTCTTAGTTTGTTAACGAGGGCACAGGACAGAAGAGGAAGAATGGAAAATGTGGACAGGGTCACGATCAGCTTGTGAAGGTCAGAAAATATTTCCAGAGCCTTTAGAGTGCAAGGCTATCATTAACTTGTGAATATGAAGAGAGTACCTCCCAGAAGCTCAGAAGTGGCCCCTGCTGCTTTGTGTGTCATGGCCAGAGTGTGACTTGTACATGTCTCCTTTTGAGTGAGCGCTTTCTTTTAGTACAGTCTCTCTTCACTCAGTGGGGTGTAATGGGCTCTTCTCAGCAGATGAATGAGATGCCTAAGTAGGAAGCCAGAAAACAGTCTAACTTCCTTAGGTTTTCAGAGAATTCACATAGTGCACTTAGATAGCTTCCAAAGTAAGAAATGAGCTTAGGAGAAAGAAAGTGGTCCACTCAGCCTTTTTCTCCCTTCTTCTCTTGGTCTCTTAGATTAATCATGTGTTTTTGCTTAGCAGCAGAGACTGACTCTGCCTACTTCCCATACCCTAGTGCTAAGACCCCGGGGACATCAGAGGATTTGTGTGAGGCTGTCAGAGTAGAAGAGTGCAAAGCCCAGAAGCGACCTATATGTAATGTAGGGACTGGTAGTAACAACAGCGTCAAAAGTTTGCACCTTTACTCATCACTTCTCAATAAGTTGGAGATTGTGTCCTTCCATCTCTGACATTTAAAATCCCATGATGCCACTGGAAAACACAACTTCTTCATCTTTATCAACAGGAGAGAATGAAGATGAAAAGTTGAATGAAGTAATGCAGGAGGCTTGGAAGTATAACCGGGAATGCAAACTTCTAAGAGATACTCTGCAAAGCTTCAGCTGGAATGGTAGGAAAATACTTCTTCCTTTCTCCATGGATGCAGAGAAGTGATTATGTGTAGAACATGGACGATCTCTGGGGGCTCAGCTGGGGCTGTTTTGAAGTGAGTGAGGCTAGAGAGTGAGTGGGGTATTATGGGACGGGGGTTACTCCTACATTAACTGCACAGGCATATCTGGACGTCTGGCCTTTCACTTGTTTTCCAGAATTCAGATAAACTGTGTGCTGCAGATTCAACCCTGTCATACACCATATGGGTACCTTATTGGGTCCCTGTCAAGAATCTCACCTCCACACGTTTGGAGACTGACTGACTTCTTTTTTGCATTTCAGGTCGTGGATTCACAGATAAAGTAGATCGGCTAAAACTGGCAGAAATTGTGAAGCAAGTGATAGAAGAGCAAACCATGTCCCATGAATCCCAATAATGACAGCTTCAGACTTTGTTTTTTTAATAATTTGAAAATTATTCTTTAATGTATAAAGTAATTTTTATGTAAATTAATAAATCATAATTTCATTTCCACATTACTTAAAGATGCTGTATAGATTTAGATACAGGACTTATTCATAGTATAGTTCATTTGTTTGTTTTTAAGAAAAGCTCAGTTTCTAGAGATATACTATTACTCTAGGACTGTTTTCTCATATGTTTGTAAGATGACAGATGGTATTGTCAAACAAGATTATTTTATTTGTAATAAAGTGTACAAAACCATTTGCCAGTGGTAGACAAAGGACTGACTATACTGACCTGTTTAGTAAACAGTTGAATCAAGTACTGTGCAATCTGGTTTCACTTGCCCTGTGTATTTGCTTTCTGCACGATTGGTAGATTACCTCTGGTGCCAAAAAATTTTTGTGGATCCATACTGCAGACTGCCTGCTGGAACCCACAGGATGCCAACTCCCATGATGGAGGAGGCAGGGATCTGAGTCCTCATTTTTCTTGTCCCTGATTATTTCAAGAAAAGTGGTAACATTTCTTTTTTGCCATATCTTTTAAAAGGTATTGGTGTGTTTCTTAAATCTAATGGGATTTTGAGTTTATTCTTTTCATGCAGGACCAGAGCTTCATTCTGTTCATCTGAGGTCCTGCTCAGTCCTCTCCACCCTTCCCCGCAGGCCTCACCAAGCTCTGTTGCTTTTTCATCTTTTTCTCTGTTCTCCTGGCTCTTTTTATTGGATGATTTTTTTGAGAAAGTTACATATCATGTAAACTGAACTATTGGGTTAGCACCTAAGGTGGTCCAGTTTTTTTCTCTGAAAGCTGCTGTTTTACTGTCAAATGCTTTGGCCTGTGCTTAACGTTGGCATCCCCAGGCTACATTTATTTTGTTCAGTACCCTTCATTTTCAGGAAGGGTGGTTTTGGCCCAGAGATCAGCTGTTTGAATAGAAAATAAGGCTGGATGCTTTTTTAGTTTTCTGTTGTGCACATGGGCTTCCATAAACCATTTTTATTTATTTATTTATTGTAGCAGTTTTTGGTGGATGCCTGTGTTGGTAAATAGAAGGGCTAGCAGGCAAATTCCAATGTACAGAGCAGAGGAAGACGATCTGTAGGCACAGTTCTTCACTTTCATCCCATCACATTCTCTTCAATCAAAATCGATCTCACAGAGCTCACTTACTTTGTAACTCTTCCACTTTGCTTAGCATGTCTTCAGGATGACATTTGGTTAGTATGCCCCGTATGTATGTGACTGACTGGAAATGTAGGATAAAAACACAAAGTATTTTGTAAGAATTACCTTATTACATTAGGTAATAGATATTTTTTGAGGTAAGGCTCCCTGATCTTAGGTGATGAATAACTGTTGTAAATGGATACTGTGTAAGGAGAATTCAATACTTTTTTTTTTTTAAGATTTTATTTGAGAGAGAGATGGAGCACGAGCGGGGGGAGGGGCAGAGGGAGAAGCAGGCTTCCCAGGGAGCCTGATGCAAGGCTTGATCCCAGGACCCTGGAATCATGACCTGAGCCGCAGGCAGACGCTTAACCGACTGAGCCACCCAGGGGCCCCGAGAATTTGATACCTTTAAACATGGCAAAATCTATAGGCAGCAGAGGAAAACAAAAGGTTTTCTTATTTACTGACCAGAAGACTTAGCTAAGAGTTGAATTAAGTGTTGAATCAAATTATTGTGTTTTAGTGAAATGCAGGCAGAGGTATTGGCTGGAGAGAGGAAGGCTGTAGTTAGCTTTGTTACTCTTTTTCTTCAGAGGAAACTTCTGGTATGCCCAGTCTACCATTCTCTTCTCAGTTTGTTACTTAGGTATCTTCCAAAGGCTCAGGATGATTTTTTTCCTTTGTGTGTGGTGAATTTTTTTTTTTTTTAAGATTTTATTTATTTATTTGAGAGAGAGAATGAGAGACAGAGAGCACGAGAGGGAAGAGGGTCAGAGGGAGAAGCAGACCCCCCGCTGAGCAGGGAGCCCAACGTGGGACTCGATCCCGGGACTCCAGGATCATGACCTGAGCCGAAGGCAGTCGCTTAACGAACTGAGCCACCCAGGCGCCCAGTGTGTGGTGAATTTTAGGCATGATCTAGAAGGACATCCAAAATAGTGCTTCCTGGGCACCTGGGTGGCTCAGTCGTTAAGTGTCTGCCTTCGGCTCAGGTCATGATACCAGGGTCCTGAGATCAAGCTCCGCATTGGGTTCCCTGCTCAGTGGGAAGCCTGCTTCTCCCTCTCCCACTCCCCCTGCTTGTGTTCCCTCTCTTGCTGTCTCTCTCTCTGTCAGGTAAAATCTTTAAAAACAAAACAAAACAAAACAAAAATAGTGCTTCCTTTAACTCAAAGCAGCAGTTGCCCATGTCTTAGTCTTATCAGGCTGAATTAATCTGGCCCCCAAAATAAATGCTATGTCCAGACATGTCCATACGAGAGTACCATGCTGGAAGTTTGTGAATGCCCTGGAGGATGGTCCAGTTGTTGTTGTAATAGAAAAGTGGGTCCTACTCTGGACTCTTGACAAAAACAGTAGTTCCCAAAGGACTCAGCACTGTTTGGTCTTCCAAGTGGAGTTTTATTTGGAGTTTGTAGGCTAGTAGCAAATTCTGCTTTGACATGCCAGTCAGGTTGACTAATAGGGCAAATTCCGCATGTAACTGGAAGTGAGACAAAATCATCCTCATCTTTTCCAGATTCTAAATGCCTACACCTGCAGGAAGTTCACATTATAAGAACAGTTCTTGCAGGCAGGAAGTTAAGAGTCTCCAGTTTTCCTACATGATTTGCTAACCCTCTGTTTAAAACCATTACTTATCACTCAAATGCCTATCAACTTCACATATAGATCTGCTTGATGTAAAACAATTTGTGTATCTTCATGGTTTTAATATACTGTATGAGCATAGGAGAATACCTGTCAGAAATTTATTGTTTGAAACATAAGAGGATAGCTTTTTAGCTTTTTTTTTTTTAAGATTTTATTTGAGAGAGAAAGAGTGCAAGCAGGGGGAAGAGCAGAGGGAGAGGGACAAGCAGGCTCCATGCTGAGCCCAACACAAGGCTGGATCCCATGACCCTGAGATCATGACCTGAGCAGAAACCAAGAGTCAGATGCTTAACAACTGAGCCACGCAGGCACCCCACTTTTTAGCTCTTCAAAGCTAAAAATAGATATGCTTTTTAGGGGCACCTGGCTGGCTCAGCCGGTGAAGCCTGCAACTCTTGTGTCAGGGTTATGAGTTCAAACCCCATAATAGGCATAGAGCTTACTTAAGAAATGAAAAATAATTAAAAAGATAGGACAGCTTTTTTAAAAAAGAGCTTGTTGTATTCATGGGAGAAAACAAATTGAAGGACTTATTGGTTAAAGAGTTTAAATGATATAAATCAGATTTTACGTGTGAACGCTTATGTGCATGTGTATTTTTTGAAGAAAATGTGTTTCAATTTGAGAACTGGAAAATTGGATATACTTAGTTATATTTTTATTTATTTAAAAAATAGAAGTGTTCTTTCATTATTGATTTATTTTATCCTACAAAATGACTTAACCTGATTTGCCCTGCCTGTTTGTGGTTAAAATAAGGGAAATACCTTAAATCTGTGATAATTTCCAAATTATATAATTTTGAGAGGCTTTCTCCTCTTATATAAAATACAAGAAGAAATCTAGCTAGAAATTACTTTTGCTATAAAATTTTTAATGGATTTGTGATATGACAGTACAAGTTCTATTGCCAGATGCTAATGATAAATTTTAAAATCTGTATTAGGAATTAAATATTATTGAGTTGATCTCTCCTGCTCATAGCTGAGATCTTGTGGTACTGAACCATTCCTTTTTTTTTTTAAATTTATTTGATAGGGCAACTGTGAGTGGGCGGAGGGGCAGAAGCAGAGGAAGAGAGAGAATCTCAAGTGGTCTCCTCACTGAGCACAGAGCCTGACGCAGGGCTTGATCTCACAACCCTGAGATCACGACCTGAGCCAAAACCAGGAGTCAGGACGTTCAACCGACTGAGCCACCCAGGTGCCCCTGTACCATTCCTTTTTGAATTAGATAGGATGTATCCCCATTTTTTAGTGTTACTTAGAGTCATATCCTTTATTTTAAAGGTTTTATATTGTAAATATTTGACTTGATATAAAATTACTTTTATGCAAGATAAAAGATGTACAGTCTTATTTTTTAGTTCATCATAGAATGTACAGGAGAATAACTGTGCAAGGAAAGTGGATAGTGTTTTTTTTCCCCTTTGAAACTACTGCTAAAAACACCAGGAAATTGACACAAAACCAAATCCAAGGACTTATCCAGACATTACAGTTCAATTTTAGTTACAAGAGTGAAGAAATCTTTAAAAAAAATTATACAGTCCATTTTTTTCTTTTTTATAATTTTTTTTTAAGATTTTATTTATTTGACAGAGAGAGACAGCAAGAGAGGGAACACAAACAGGGGGAGTGGGAGAGGGAGAAGCAGGCTTCCCACTGAGCAGGGAGCCCGATGCGGGGCTTGATCCCAGGACCCTGGGATCATGACCTGAGCCGAAGGCAGACACTTAACGACTGAGCCACCCAGGCGCCCCCATTTTTTATTTTCTTGATGAAATGGTAACTAGATACCTAATCAGAGTTTGTTTTTATGTTGGGGCAGTTGGGAGGAATTGAATGTTGATCCTAGTCACTTGTATACTTCCATGGTAAAACTAGGCTTTATTTCATTTATCACTTAATATGTGCATTAGGAAAACTTCATAGTAGGGAAAAGTTGTTTACATACAGATACAAAATGTCTAAACCCATCTCTCATGAACAAAGGCTGACAAAGGAGGGTTGGGCTGAGAAACAGTATCCTGAAAATTATGGAAATGAGAAAAGGAGGTAGTGGGCACAGAGAACGTTTTCCTGCTCAGAGATCCCCAAAGAATCCCCGTCCCCTCCCCCTACCTCCTGCCAGAATGTTGGGTTTCAAAGAATGAGCAGATTAACGGATATCAGGAGTAGTGTGGCCTGGGCTGAGAATAAGGATAATTTAGGCAAATTTTGAGTTATAGTATTGTCTGAATCATTACAGTCTGCCTATGGGGCATATCTGTGAAGGTAGCGGGAACTTAGCCAAGGAACATTAGAGCTTCTGCTGTTGGAAGAAGTCATATGGTAAGGGAACTACCAAAGGCCAAGAGCTAATAGAAATACAGCCCCAAAGTCTGTATTACTCAAGAGCTGCACAGCATCAACCCCTTAGGGAGCCGGCCTAGATCTGGGGCTAATACCTGACTCCCTGAGTCTCACCATGCCAGGGATAGCTGTTGCTGTGGGACAGAGGCCACGCAGCATCAACTGATTCACAACGGCCATGTCAATGGTAGCCTCTTCGAGACACTCTGCCTCTACACTGCC